TGGCCCTTTCTGTCTCTTTAAACTTTAAAATTTCTGATTGTCATTCAAGTACCCAAATATGCCCATCTACATTTAATATCAGGATGACAATATAATCCAGCAAAGATCATACCACCTCTTATGAGATTAGTTATGAAGTGTAATATTTACATATGAAAGAAACAAAACTTACAAATCAATAGCTTCAACCTTATCTGGGAGTCTAAAAAGCAGCTCTGAGCCACATGAATGTAGATACTAGGTTAAATATCAAATTTGATATAAAATTTATAAAATCATACCTTTATCTTGTAACTGGAACAGCACATACTATTTTGAGAGGCCTAATATTTAGACCCACCATCCGTTTGTTGTACTGTGGTGGCTTGTGTGTTGCTATGATGCTGGACGCTATGCCACCAGTAATTCAAATACCAGCAGGGTTACCCCAGGTTTCAGCAGAGCTTCCAAACTAAGACAGACTAGGAAAAAAGGCCTGGTGATCCACATCTGAAAACTAGCCAATGAAAACACCATGGATCACAACAGAATACTGTCTAATATAGTGCTGGAAGACAAGCCTCTTAGGTTGGAAGGGCCTAAAATGACACAGTGGCTGCAACAACGGACTGGGTGCAGGAATGGACAAAGTTTTATTCTGTTATATATGAGGTCATCATGAGTCAGGGGCCGAATCATCAGCAACTGGTAACTAACAACATTTAGACACCAAATCTGTTGCCCTCGAGTTGATTCCGACTCATAGAAACCCTTTAGGACAGAGAAGAACTGCCCCATAGGGTTTCTAAGGAGTGGCTGGTGGATTCGAACTGCAGACCTTTTTGGCTGGCAGCTGAGCTCTTAACCACTGTGCCACCAGGGCTCCCACTTAGACACAATGGCTCATAAATAGATGACTGCCGGCAGGATCTAATTTTATCTCCTAATTCCGAGCAGGAGCCCAGGCTTGCTAATTTCATTTCTCCTTTTAACCCACAGAATCTCAACTCTGGCAGCATGCTACATTCATCTGAGGCTTTGAAAATATGTATGCTTGGGCCCAATTCCAGAAAATAAATCACAGAGAATCCTTCTAGGTGGGCCAGAGAATTGGTAATTTTTAAAAGCCACTCGGGATTCTCATATATAGCCAGAAATGAGAGCCAGTGTTCCAAAGACTAAGTAGTTAATCAAGAATAGGAGGGTATGGCAAATTATTGTTTTGAGTAAGTCCACAAAAGCAAGCGTGTCTGGTTTCTGGTAGAAGGAAGAGAAAGTGTATTATCTGGGATGTGTATTTTTAAATTTTATGATTTCACAAGCATTAAAGCTATCTATTCTTTTCCCCTAGAGAAGGCATGTCATCTTTTCATATTGGCCCTCTTTAAAATCTTACTAACATTGAAATTCTTTCCACAATTACTTTTATAATAGGCTCTTCTAAGTAAAAGACACAAGACTTTATTGAGGGATTAAGGGCTAGAGGTACTGTTAGGAGTATTTTACCTACATATTTCATTTATTCCTCAGAACCACCACAAAGCTAATCACCACTACCAGAAAGCTAGTAAGTGGCAGGACTGAGACTTAACTCAGGGTGGACTGTTAATAGCCATTTTGTTTTAACCCAATTCCTGAATATAATTCACATATTGCCACTTCCATGTCACTGATGTTCCTGCCACCTTTCCTTCAACTCCTGACAATCAAATCCGCTTTACCTCTGAAGTCCAGTTTACATGCTGTATCATCCAGAAGCTTTCCCTGATGTCATCAGCAGAAAGCCAAAGCATTTAATTATGCATTTAATCATTAATTCTTGCATTACTGTTATGTATGTGCTTATCTTCTAATTTCTAGGAAGATGCTGAGCTAGCATGAACGCCGACTCCCTCAAGACCAACACTGGAGACACTATGGGGGAAAACATCAAAATAAAAGATAAGAAATCACTGGAGAGATTCAGGCTGTTTTCTGTTTTGGGTGTGTGTGTAAAGGATGGAGGACTGTGAGTGTTTGTGTGTAGGGGGAGGGTATAATTTGTGTGTGTGTGTGTGGGGGTGTGTGTGGGTGTGTGTGTGTGTGTATGTAGGGAGTGGAGGGCCGTAACTGTGTGTGTGTGTAGGGGGGTGGAGGGTCATGACCGTGTGTGTAGGAGGTGGAGGGTCGTGACTGTGTGTGTAGGGGTGGAGGATCATGACTGTGTGTGTGTCTGTAGGGGGTGAAGGATCATGACTGTGTGTAGTGGTGGAGAGTCAGGACTGTGTGTGTGTAGGGGGTGGAGGGCTGCGAGTGTGTGTGTGTGTGTGTAGGGGTGGAGGGTCGTGACTGTGTGTGTGTAAGGGGTGGAGGATCGTGGCTGTGTGTGTGTGCAGGGGTGGAGGATTGTGACTGTGTGTGTGTGTAGGGCGTGAAGGGTTGTGACTGTGTGTGTGCAAGGGGTGGAGAGCTGTGATTGTGTATGTAGCGGGTAGAGTCGTGACTGTGTGTGTGTGTGTGTGTGGAGGGGGTGGAAGGTCGTGACTGTGTGTGGGTGTATAAGGAGTGGAGGGCTGTGACTATGTGTGTGTATGCAGTGGGTGGAGGGTCATGACTATGTGCGTACGTAGCAGGTGAAGGGATGTGACTGTGTGTATATGTAGGGGGCAAAGGGTCGTGACTGCGTCTGTCTGAGGGGTGAAGGATTGTGACTGTGTCTTTGAGTATGTACGGATGAAGGGTCGTGACTGTGTGTGTGTGTATATGTAGGGGTGAAGGGTCGTGACTGTATGTTTGTCTGTGTGATGTAGGGGTAGAGGGTCCTGACTGTCTGTGTGTGTGTAGGGGGTGAAGGGTCGTGACTGTGTGTGGATGGTCCTGTGTGTGCAGGGAGTGGAGGGTCATGACTCTGGCCTGGAACAGGAGGCGTGTGTCTGTGGGAAGATAAAATACGAAGAAGGGAAACAAGAGATTTGAAACTGCTCTTGCTCCTCCCTCCCCACTGCCTCACTTGCAGAAATGGAGGACTCTGGTCTATGCTCATGAATAAAACAAAGGCATCTAAGAAGAAACCCTGTGCCTGGCAGATGTTGAGAGAAGCAGGTGGGAGCTAACCTCTGGCAGCCACCTTCTCACTTTGCCTACTCTAAATGCCAAAAGCTGGTGACTGACACTCCAGGAGGGAGGACAACCTTGAAATGCTGCCTCTGTCCAGCCTCTCTACCAAAGAGGAAGCCACATCCTGAGATGCTGTTTTGTGAGGTAGTGAGTGAGTTGTGGTCTTGTACCGCCAGGGTTAGCAAGCCCAGAGCTCATCTACCCCATGCCTAGAGGTCATCCCTGGGGTTGACCTAGGCTAGAGCAGTGGTTCTCAACCCAGGCTACACATTACAAGGACCTGCAAGCATCCAGGTAATTGTAAGTGCAGCAGGGTAGAAGCCACTGGATCCTGGCCTGGCCTTTCTCCTTCGGCATTATCTGAGAATCATCAATACTCCTGGGCAAAATTGAGTCCCCTGTCAAATAAGACATCTGAGGACTGCAAGTATTTCATAGAGAAAAACAACAAACTGGATTATAAATTACATTAATGCAGAAAGGCAGTAACAGGTTACAAATTTAAAATTCACGTAAGAGACATATAAAGAAAAATAAGTTATTGGAGTGCAAAAGAAGAAAACAAAGACCAATGCAGAAATATTAAGTACAAAGAATATAACTGCAGAAATAAAAACCACAATAGATGGGATAAACAACAGAATGGATATACCTGAGGAATTAATTACTTGGAAGACCAGATCAAGGTAATCTCCCAGAAGGAAACAGGAAGACAAAACACTAGAAAACACAGATTTAGAAGACTGACATTCACATAATAGATGTCTCAGAAAAAGGAAAAAGATGGTGAGGAGAACATAGTTGAAGAAATAATCGAGCTAAATTCTTCAGAGTAAAAAAAGATGAAAAGATCAGATGAAGAGCTTGGCCAGCTCTCAGAGTGCCATACAGGAGATACAGGAAAAACCCATACCTAGCAACATTTGAATTGGAAGTGAACTGCCAGAGTAAACAAATCAGCCTCAGAAGTAATACAACCAGAACACTTTTTAGAAGTGAGGACAGAGAGACTTCAGCTCCCTTACTTTGGACATGCCATCAGCAAAGAACAATGCTAGAAAAGGACATCACTTTTGGTAAAGCAGAGGGTCAGAGAATGAGAGAAACCTTCAATGAGATGCACTGACATAATGGATACAACAATGGGCTCAAACATACCAATGATTGTGAAGATGGCACAGCACTGGGCAACATTTCTTTCTGTTACACACAAGGTTGCTATGAGTTGGAGCCGACTGGACGGCAACTAACAGCAGTAACATTACAGCAAAATTTAGACTATGAAAGACAAGAGATTTTCACTACAGTGCCTAGCACAAAGCAGATACGTTCAAGTGTTTTCACAAGATGCAACAAAAGATCGACTTAAAGACAACATCAAATCTTTATGAGGCAGTCATTATACCAGATTCAATTCTACTAGGGAAAAAATATCATGATTAAAATAAACGTTTGTGGTAAGAACTGAATAAGGACATTTAAATGTTAGTCGTGTCCTACTCTTCAAGACGATAGTTTAAATTGTTGGTGGCCAAATTAAGGTTTTAGCTGTCTCTGTATTTCTATTTAGGATACTATTTTCAAAAATACCTACCACCTCTATTCTCAAGGTAGGTTTCAGTAGAGGTAGATCTTGGCTTGTTTGGCTATGCAGCATTTGAAACACAACACATTCAATCATCCTTTCAATTACATATTACTATTAAAAACCCAGAGTCCTCTATTTATATATGTATGTATGCCAGGAGCTGTGGGGATTAAGAAGATACAAAAGATCTGGATCTGACAGACACTTCCAACTTTCTAAGAGTTGACAAGCTAGGAACATCTCATAAATGTGTTCTCAGGTAAGGAAATGCGTCTTTTTCTACCCATTCTTTGTAAATAAGCCAGAGGCTCACAGAAGTTCTTCAGTAATGGCTTACCTGGTCAATATCAGCATTTCTCGGAAGAAAGTAAACAATATTATTAGTGATCTTCTGGGAAAGTCTGAAAATTTCAAAGGTGGAGAGTAGTTAAGGAAACAAAAACAGCAGTTATTTTCTGATCAGAGATATGTTCTTTAATTATTGTATCATAACCTAAATGTATTTTGATATGTAATAACAAAGCACAAGTTTAAATTCTCTAATGGCACCTAAGGAGTAGCTTTCTAATTCAGCAGCACAAGGTCCCTGGTAAATCAGAGATTAGAAGTGAAGCCTATTGAATCTATTATCCTAGTGGTAGGAAGCCAAGAGCCAGGAATAGACACTCTCCTGCAGCCATTTCCTAATTACTGTGAAAAGAGAAGGGATAGGAGCACAACGTAAGCCCTCTTTCTAGTAAAGAGTAAAGATGGGCAACTCTGGTCACTGTGATCTATATTCTAAGTTTTAAGCAGCAAGTCAGAAACATGTTTCCTGTTAGAGTCAAAAAGATGATTCCTCTGGGGAGCAGGGGATGAGGAAAGGGGAAAATAATAAATGCTATTCTTTATGAAATAAGCGTTTGCTTCAGTATCTTGGAAGAGTAACCAAAAAAAAAAAAAAAAAAAGACAAAGAATTAGCACACAAGTCAGTGTGAGTTGAAGAAAACTTAAGGCGTGGCCATCTAGATTCTAGGGAGTGGTCTTGAGGAAATCCCCAATTTCCAAACAATATCCTTTAATGCTTTCTAGTTCTTGCTTTGCAATAGTAAAACCGGAATAGCAACCAAAGGAAATATGATCTCACATTTGCTATAACTTTTGGAAATCAACCACCACTTTATTTTTATATATCTACGTTTTAGGCTAAATAGGCTATCAAATGCTATTAGCAAATATCTCCCCTCCTCACCAATTTCTCTCTCTCACACACACACACACAACCTCCTCCTCACGATGGCTGTTATATGTAAACTCTCAGGACTTCCAAAGGATATCCATCAGGAGACATCATCGTCCTAATATCAAAGGTCTCTGCAGTGGCATAGTCTGGTCCTCCCCAAGGAGGGCTGAGGAATACAACATCTGCCTTTAGATGAGAAGCAAGCAGCAGGAAATCTCCACAGATAAACTCTATGTTATCTGCTACCCCATACACTTCTGCATTGTTGCGAGCAAGATCAATCTTCACAGGATCAATATCAATGGCGATCACTAAAAATGGTAAAAACAAAAATGAGTCATTGACATTATCAGTTATATAGATCATCTTTCTAACAGTCTGCTTACCTTCTGTACAATAACCTTCTTTAAAGACTAAAGGAAATTTTGCATATTATTAAGATATTTAGCCCCATATACCAGTGATATAGATTCAACTTAAAAGTTCTTATCTAAAGGAAACCCTGGTGGCGTAGTGGTTAAATGTCACAGCTGCTAACAAAAAGGTGAGCAGTTCAAATCCACGAGGCGCTCCTTGGAAACTCTACGGGGCACTTCTAATCTGTTTTATAGGGTTGCTATGAGTTGGAATTGACTTGACAGCAACAGGTTTGGGTTTTTTGGTTTATTTGCACGCTATGAGAAAGTGTTGTACAAAGAAAATGTGATTAAGGGACCTGGCTTGAAAAATTTTTTCACTCAGTCAGCTTTACTAAATCAAGTGACAATACTTTCTCCTGTAAAATTTTATCTATTTGAGTACACTTTTACCTAGCACATTTACTCTGGCCTGAATTTGCTAACCTCATGGTGCTAGTAGAAACACACAGACCAATCAACCACAGGTACCTCCCGAGTGCCGATGATGTGGGCAGCACCATGCTCTGTGCAGCCTGGACGGCAGACACTTGAAAAGGTCACTGATTGCACGGAAAGCCTATAATGCCAAAATCTCAGAAACGACAAATTTTCCCAAAATGAGACAACCCCCAAAAGAAGACAAATTTGACAACTTCTATAGAAAACACATTAAAAACCTATATAGTCAAGTTACAGAAGAAAAACGTAAAAACATCTGCTGTTGATGTTTAATGAGACATTTTACACAGGAAAAATAATGTTTTCACAGAATAGGCTTTTGTTTAATTCATTGCAATTTTATAGTTACCAAAGCAAACATATGTTAATTTTAGCTCAGTAATTTTAGCTTTCAGTAAACTACTCAAGTGCACCTGAATGTACACTATCATGTTAATGGCAACACTTTACATTTGGAGGGGCTGAGTGGAACCTTGATGAAAATGGAGCTTTTTCCAGAAAATGCCAGTTTCAAAAATTGTTAAAGCTTTTAAGAAATAATGAAATAAATCTTTTATTAAACAATGACTATAAGCACCAATAATGTTTCAAAATCTTGCATTTATAATGCTCTTTTTCTGTTCTAAATAAGCTCACATTTACGTTTAAAAGAGAAAAGATCTTTTTCAGCTATTCAATCTGCTAGGTTTATAGTTCAGGGACAGATGTGCTGATATTAAAAATTCTAAAAAAAATGGCTTTCAACATCAAATCTATTCAGTTAACCCTCCTGTTTTCATCTGCACTTCTCTTGGAAGGCGATTTTGCTTCTGGACTTAACAGAAGAATGTAAGCACTCAATTTATCACATAAATAAAATGCTGACAAATGCAGAATGATACTGTATAGAACCGCACTGACTAGTAATGGCAGCCACTAGCCACAAGTGGCTATTAAATTTGAATTGGTTAAAACGAAATAATACTGAAGATGTAGATCCTTACTCTCACTAGCCATATTTCAAGTGCTCAACAGCCACATGTGGCTATTGGTTACCATATAGGACAGCTCAGATAGAGAACACTTCTATCAATGCGGAAAGTTCTTTTGGGTAGTAGTAATACTGAACTACTAGAATACATAGAAAATGGGAGAAAAGACCTAACAACTGCAAAATGCTTAAGAAAAATCATTTTCAGCCAATAAAAATTTAACATTTTTCTGACTGAACTGGGCTCACAGGACTGATTTATCTGGCAAAAACTGAGAAGAACTTCATGAGTAAATAGCGATTTCAGGGAAAAAAGAAAGTAATTACCATCCTGGTAATTATGAATATAGCTTTTATCCAGTATGCTAGGAAATCATATAAAATTAGCAAATGTCAGGGCTAGGCATAGGAGTAATTGAACAGGGGCCATCGTTCATCAGCACTAGTCTCAAATGATGCTAAACTTCACTTAATCATTTTCTAGCTTCTATATTATGCTTTCCTAGTCAGTATTAAGAAATTTATATAAATTACCACAAAGATGCCTTCCTAGTTAACATTAAGAAAATTACATAAATAATGAAATTCAGTTGAAATCTGCCGAAATGGAAACTAACATTGCTGTGCCAAATATGAAGATACTGGGGAAAAAAAAAAAACATAAGCATCTTTAGAGTATGACAAGAATAAATACCTCTAAAATATCACATTATACTGCATTTAAAAAAGAATTTAGAAAGAACAGGGATATCAGAATCAGAAAAACTGAGTAAAAACCCTGGCTTCACTACTCAGCTATGTCAATTTGGGCAAACTGTTTAATTTCTTCTCATCCCTATACGTCTTCATGTGCTCCTAGACTAAAGATGCATGCAAATGTTGATTCCAAACCAGACAACCGTAAGGATGATGTAATATTTAAAACCAATTTTTAAAGGTTTAGAATGTTAAAGCTGAAAGGTATCACAAAGGTCACCTCAATTTAATGCTCCATTTTTCAGGCGGGTAAATTAAGATGCAATGATATCCAAAGTCATGAAGGAAGTGAGTGGCAAAGTTGGCACTCCCTGTCTACTGTTCTTCCTTTCTAAAGAACAGGTTCTCATTTTAGTATTTTTTGTTTTATAGAATGTTATAATCTTATTCCACCACTTAATAGTTGTGTCTATATAATCTTGGACAAATCTCTTAATCTTTTATGGAGACAGTAAAAACCATGCTTCACAATTTTTCTGAGGATTAAATAAGTTAATACATATAAAGCACTTACAACAGTATCTGATACATACCAGTTACCGGTTGCTATGAAGTCGATTCTGACTCATGGTGACCCTACGTGTGTCAGAGCAGAACTGTGCTCCATACGGTTTTTGATGTTTTTTCAGAAGTAGATCATCATGCCTTTCTTCTAAGGCGCCTCCGGGTGGACTCAAACTTCCAATCAGTTGCTTAGTACCCAAGTATGTTAACTGCTTACACCACCCAGGGGCTCCACTTGATACACAGTGTGTGCTTAACATAAGTTGACTATTATTATTTTAAATACTTGGGATTAAACTATTAATTATATGCTAAATCTCAGCAAAGATATGCTGAAGCACAACAAATGTTCATTGAATGAGTAGAAAATAAAATAGTTCTCTTCCATTAATGGCTAATTACCTTTCTTTTTTGTTAAGGCAAACTGAATGGTATTTCCTCCAACTCCACAGAATGCGTCTACTACAACGTCACATTTGAAGGACTCACTGACTCGGCCAGCAATGTGTTCAGCTATCTTCTCCGGAGTAACGGAAAACCAGCCCTCTGTGAGGAAAGAGTATCTCTGTTAACATGTTCAATTTCAAGAAGCCAAGCCAAGGGCAAACACAGCAAGTATTACTATGTTTTACATACTTTTAAAAAACTTAGCTTCTCTTTCCAAAAAATTATACATCGCCCAGTTTTAAATAAAAGTTTTGCAAAGCTTGTTATAAAAAGTAACAGTACCATTCCTAGTTGCCCCAGACACAACCTTCAATTCTTACCTAGTTCTCTGTAACTTACCTCCATTTCTCCAATAAGAGAATATAATTCTGATTTTTTGTTTTAGGCATTAACTACTGACTAACTACTATGTCAAGCGAAAAGTTAGCTATTCTAACTGGCTAACTTTCCAAACTCCACTGAGTTTCCCAATTATTTCAACCCTATTGTAGAAGCAATGAATAGGATTTGTTCTCGCTACTTTGGGAAAAATTCTCACATCTCCAAAGGGTCAGAAAAAGCAAGCAGATAGCAAAAGGCCTCAGAGCTGTAGTAAAATATACTGCGGTGGGAAGTGCAGAACCCTCATCATTTCAGAAATAAGGTCTTGTGCCCGCTAGAGCAAAGGGATCCTGCCCTCCTACTTTCCCAGCAGAAGAAATTTACGTTTTTAGAAAGTTATTTCTCTGAGCAAAATGATGAGCCAATCTTCCAGTTACCTCACCTTGCTAAACTTTAAATGGTTCCTCACTGCCAGAAGAGTTCAAATATAAACTTCTTTTATGAAATTCAAAACTCTTTTCCAGTCTTATTTCTCTTAACAAACTCACAAGTACTTTCCTCAATATACAACATTTTGGAAGTTATTGTAAGAGGTTCATAGAAGCCCTGAAATTCCACCATAGATCAAGACCTCCTGATTTTGACAGCTAATCAAGACAGATGTCCAGGCAGCCCAAATATGAAAATGCACACTAGTCTGCAAGACTGAGTTAATAAGTTGTTCAAGGTCACAGCAGGAAAGCTCGAGTAAGAACTCAAAGTTTTCAGTGTTAATTCATTAAATTACATTTTTTTGTGCTAGGTATTCCTTCATTGAATGTTCCATATACTAGCTCTATCAACTGCTTTTGTTACCTATGCTAAGATGCAACAAATACAGATTAAATCTGTACCTAAGATTTAAAAAATACATATATATCCATGTTAAAGGGCACTCTATAGAATGGTGAAAAATGTCGAAGTCATGAAAGACAAAAAAGGCTGAGGAACTGTTCCAGGTTAAAGAAAACTAAAGAAACATGAAAACTAAATGCAATACATGATCCCTTCTGGAAGAAAAGAGAAATACTATAAAGGGCATGACTGGGACAATTGATGAAACTGGAAAATGGACTAGAGGTTGATTGGGTGGGACTGTGCAGATAAGATAATTGTGGCTCACCAAAGGGATTGATCAGTTTTGCCTAAAAAGAGAGCCATTACAGAGCAGAGAGAGGAACCCACCACCACCATGGAAGAACAGCCAGGAGCAGAGAACTCTGGACCTGGGATCCTTCACTGAGAACCAGGAGACAGAGAGAACTGCGACACTGAACACAGCGAGAAGTGGTGACAGAGAAACGGCGGCAGGAGAGACTGGCAGGAGATCGTGCAGTGGGCTTCCCAGTCCACAGGGTGAGGAAGCTGCGTGCCTTAGGGCAGGAGGCTTGCTGGTGGAGTAGCGTGCCTCTGGGCACTTACAGGCAAAGCTACAAGATCTCTGTAACACTTGCCTGAGCAGGGCAGAGGCCGAGGGGTAAGAGAGAGGCATGCCTGCGGGCATGACTGGGAAGAGTCTGTCCTGATGGAAAAACTGTATCCTGGGCGTTACTGAACCTCAATTGTAATCTGTTACCCCCTAATAAACCTCATTATCATGAGTATTGTCTGTGAGTTCCGTGTGGCCACTGTAATCAATTATTGAACCCAACAGAGAAGCAGAGAGTGCTGTGGGAGGGATGGTTGTTATCAGAACAGGTAAAGATGGTGGAGAGAGAAGGGATGTCTGATCTCCATCTCATAGGAATCAGCTTTGGGCTGTTGATCTTGATTCTCCTTCCCCCTTGTGAAGTTAGAGGAGGTCAGACTCTGCCCCCATGCCATTTTTACAGGTAATTTTACTACGGTTGTATAAAAAAAAATCCTTGTATTTAGGAAAGACACGTGAAAGTACTAAGAAGTAGGGATGTGATGTGTGCAACCCACAATCAACTGGATCAGAAAAAAATACATGCGTACAGAGAGAGAGAATAATAAACAATTGTGGTAAAATGAAAAACTAGTGAAGCTGGGTAAAGGGGATATGAAAATTCTCTGTACTATTCCAGCAACTTCTCTGTAAATTTGAGATGCTTTCAAATTAAAGTTAAAAATACTTATATACTTTACCTCTGTCCAATTTAATCCCATCATCAAAACGGGAGAAGAGCCTGTACCTCTGGGCCCAGTATTTTGCCAGCTCAGGAACAGCAGCTATCTCAGGAGGCAGGCTATTCACCTTTTTGTTCTTGTTTTTCTTCTTCTTCTTCTTTGTTTCAGCTTAAGTAAACAAAAACAAAACAAAGAATACCGATGCTCACTATGAAAAAAGAAAATCACTCGTGAAATTACCTAAAGGTGTGACACAAAAAATCATTGCTAACTTTGGACTGCACCCAGCATATGCATACAAAGACACACTCAGAGAAGCAGGAGGGTTATTTACAACGGAAACAGCACCACCATTAGATTATAGCCTCCATCTTGCACCTTATCAGCTCCGTGAGCTTGGACAAGTAACCAGGCTCTCTAAGCTCCAACTGTTAATTCCTTAAAAAGGAATAAATGAGTGAATTTAATCAGTATCTTGCCTACTAGGTTCCAGGGTGGCGCAAACGGCTTGCTCTTCGCTACCTAACCTGAAGGTTTGCAGTTCAAACCTATCCAATTGTGCCATGGAAGGGCTGGGGATCAGCTTCCATAAAGACTACAGCCAAGAAAACCCTATGGAGCAGTTCTACTCTATAACACATGGGGTCGTCAAGGGTCACAACTGATTTGACCACAATGGGTTTGTTTTTGCTTTATCTTACCTACTCACCTCATTACACCTGCTCCTCACTTATTTATTCTCGTTATCTGACATTTTGCATTTATGACAATCGTAAAAAAATCTACTATCCAACTGTTTTGTGCATTAACAATGTACCTCTGGCAGTAACAAACAAGTTAGGATGCGAGAGTAACACTGGCTGTGATGGTTATGTGTCAACTTGGCTGGGACATGATTCTCAGTGGTTTGGCAATTATGTAATGATGCAGTCATCCTCCATTTTGTGATCTGATGTGCTCATCTTCCACTTTCGCCTAACACTGACTTTCATGTAACAAGTTGGTCTTTGGAACCTAACCATGTCCATAAGTGATGACTGGGTGTATAGGTATAAAACTTTTATTTCTGTTAGCCAGGACACTTGCTTTGGTTGGTAAAATTATAGAACTCTGAACATTTCCCTTCCCTTCATCTTTAAGATAAAATCTGCCAAGAACTTTTTACACTATAACTTTCAGCCACTAATCTCTGAACCTAGCTATGATCTAGTAGTCATCACAGCCTCTGAGAAACTGAAATGGAGGTCACAGAGCTCCATTCCATAGAGAGGATCTTGCTTATTCAGAAACTTGCTTTTTCTTATATAAACAATTTTCATTAGCTTGGTTATTTGGTTTTAGTTCTGAGCAGATCAGAAGCTCCAACTTAGAAAGATAAGACTGCTGTCACAGTTAAGTATAATGAGCTCAGCAAGAAGTGATGGTTGACAAAAACTAAAACTCTAGCATATTTAAACGGTCCTCAAAGATAGGACTGTCTTAAGATGATCATCTGATCACTGCAAATAGCAAAAAGTGTCATCAAACTTTCTCAACAGAGGAATGATGACATTTTGATGGAACAATTCTTTGTTGGCCAAGACCATCCAATACAGCATTTAACACTCAGTATTAAATGCCAGAATTCCCCAGGTCACTCTAACGACCAAAACCTTCCAAATGCCCCTGAGCAGGCGGTACCACCCCAGGTGAGAATTACCATATTGTGACAACTGGTGTACATGGAAGTAGGCTAGTGTGGGAAAATGGATTTAGAAATCAAAGAACTTGGGACTGAGTCCTAGCTGTACCACGTCCTGGCTATGTGATCTTGGGCAAGCATCTTAATTTCTCTGAGCTTTATTTTCCTTATCTGTAGAGTGAGGTTAATTCTAATTACCTCACTGGACTACCTGATAGGTTAAAGAGAATAAGGCATGTCAAAGATTTTAGAAATCTGCAAGAGCTTATGAACATTAGCTCATGATTTAAACTACCCTAAGTATGCTGTTTAGAAAGGCAAAGCAGTATGTGATACAAAGATCACAGGTCTACACAAACACACACACACAGAAATAAAAGACAAGACTCAAAAGACTCAATAAGGTATATTCCTCAAAACTGAATTAAGAAAAAATATATGAAGGATTATGATAATTGTTTCATAAGGGCAAATCTGAAATAGTTTATCAATAAAATTGACTATTATGTAAATGAAAGCTTCTACCTTATAAACCTCAATGTTCCACTGAATACAATTATTATTTTTCAATTATAAAAAAAATTTGCTATTAAGCACATGAAAAGATGCTCAATATTGTTAATCATTGGGGAAATGCAAACGAACACCACAATGAGATACTACTTTATCCCCACTAGGATGGCTATTATCAGAAAAATGGTAAATAACAAGTGTTAGCAAGGATGTACAGAAATTAGAACCCTTGTGCACTGTTGGTGGAAATGTAAAATGCTATAACTGCTATGGAAAACAATTTGGCTCATCCTCAAAAAGTTACACAGAATTACCCTATGATCCAACCAATTCTACCGTACCCAAAAGATTCGAAAGGAAGGACTCAAACAGATACTAGTAACCGAAGTTCATTGTGGCATTATGCACAATAGCTAAAAGGTGGAAATAACCAAGTGTCCATTAATAGATAAGTGAAGTAACAAAATGTGATATACCCATACAATGGGATATTACTCAACCATAGAGAAATACGAAAATCTGATCCATGCTATGATATAAATGAAACCTGAAAACGTAAGTGAAATACAAAAGTACAATCTCATTTATACAAAATATCTAGAATAGACAAATGTGTAGAGACAGAAAGCAGATTACTGGTCACCAGGGGCTGAGGAAAGGAGGAATGGGGAGTTATTACTTAATGGGTACTAAGTTTCTGTTTGGGGTGATGAAAAGTTTTGGAAGCAAATAGTGCTGCCGTTTCCATGCACAACACTGTGTGACTAGTGCCAACGGACCATATACTTGAAAATGGTCAAAATGGTAAATTTAATGTTGTATATACTTTGCCCCCACACACAAAAAAATGAACATCTGTCTGAAAAAATTCAAACAGTATAAAAGGGCATAAAGTAAAAATGTTACTCTGTTTCCTCCCTATTCATTAAAGCTAACTACTGTGAATACTTTTTTATGTCAATATACCATCAAAAAAACAACCACCACCAACCACAAAAACAAAAAATAAACATAATAAAAAAAAAAGAATTATCAAAAAGAAAGCCAGAGCAACACCAAATTTCAAAAGATCTCACAAGGATTGCCCATGGAACAGAGGGTCAAAGCAGAGACCAATTGCAATGGCATACAAAGTGGTCCTCAAATGCAGTTTCCTATATGCTTCATCTTTTACATTATCACACTTGCTCAGCCAAAAGGAAAGAGTATTCTGCATGCCAAACACAGCCATTAGTGTATTACAGTTAATATGCCTGCTCACGACTTATAAAGAAATAGCAGTGAATCCTTAGGTATACGTGATTCAAAGTGAGGACTACGGAAATACATTAAAGAAAAAATGCATTTATCTAAATCCATTAACAAGTTAAGGGATATTTAGTCTTACCTTCATTTTCTACTTGAAGAGAGTCTGGTTTCTCCTGCTCTTCTGTCACAGTTGCTACTACACTGTCTCCATTTTTTTCTGTTTCAAATTCACCAGGTGAATATACGGTATGACACTTGTCAGGTTCTCGATTACTAGTCTCAAATGGGCTATCACCTTGTGTAACAGACACTTGTTCCTCTGAACCACTACTTGTGCAAGTGTCTTGCGTATCATTGTGAGAAAATGACTCCTTCGATGTTTCCTCATCCATTTGTTCATTAACCCATTTTAAGAATTTCTCTACCTGAAATTTTAAGATGTTAGGAGCATGAATTAATTCCAAACTACACAGAATTTTCCCATCTTTTTTTTTTTTTTTAATTTATTTTGGTTCTTGTAGTTACGACTATATAGAGCAGAACATACATCAAGTCAACAATTTCTGCATGTACAATTCAGTGACACTGATTTCCCACCTGTTTTATCATCTGTAACTTGACTGTCAAGCTATGTCATAATTATTAGCTCTGGTAAGCACACTGCATCACACATGCTCATGTGAGTAATTCTGAGCCAAATGCAATTTCCTATCCTGACATACCATGAACTTATTGAAGATTTCTTTAAAGAGAAGAAAACAGATTAAACACAAGACTATGATCTTTCCTGTTATCAATTAACACTAGGAGATTAAGCCAAACTCGACCAAGTAGCTTTCCATAAAGGGCCCTAATAATATAACTGCAGCATGATGCTACCATTACAAACTTACTTAACTTACTATTGAATCATTAATTTTAATTTTTCAAATTACACAGAGCTCTCTTCAATGGCTCAGGCTACAATCTATGTTAAATGTTACTTATCGTGAAAGAAGAACACTAAAAAGATTTAACGCCAATTTGTCTAAAAGAATAGTGTTTTTTTGGAAAGATCGAGGATAATCTTTTAATGAAGGAGTAGGACCAGTAAAATGAATCGTAATAACTAGGTTTATTCTCTAAAATGTTAATCCAGGCTCCACGTTAGATGTTTGTTCTTGCATCTCTCTAGCAAGAATATTCTTCATAACAGCAAGTATGGCTAACCTTACTGAGAGTTAGTTAATAAGAATGAGCGGTAGACATGGACAACAACCTAGAATCTTCCTCTGAAGGAAATGTGCTAACAGATCAATCAGATACCTAAAGGCACAGCAGCCACATGTATTTTTCCCTCAGCAGTACGTAGCCACTATGTTTCTGCCCTTCATCCACAGATGAACATATGGGGACTACAACATCCAGTGGAGCCCTGGTGGTGCAGAAGTTAAGAGCTCAGCTGCTAACCAAAGAGCGGGCAGTTTGAATCCACCACCCATTCCCTGGAAACCCTAGCGGGGAGCTCTACACTGCACTATAGAGTTGTGATGAGTCGAAATTGACTCAACGGCAATGGGTTTAGCTTTGGTTTTATTACATGTAACATATTATAAGAAAATCCTATAGGATTGACTATACGATACTGGGTAGTCAGTTTCAGATAGAACCAGGGTCACTAAAATATTTATTAAAATATCACCAGCAACCAACTCAACTGAAATATAATAAAAATAAAACCAGCTATAAATTTGTTGCATGCTTTAGAAGTCTGCTGAAGTTAGCAAGGATAATGTACCCTAAGGGTAAAACAAAGTCATCATGGAGTCTGAAATTATATTCCATTGCCCTAAAGAGCTCCCAGAGATGTGATGGATACAAACATTCTGCTCACTGGAATGTGGTGTTTTCCTATAATAGAGAAGGATTACTCATGAAACCAAGCAATTTTCTAATTACTTTTGTTTCCCAGGTACTTGGATAGCAGGTACAGCAAAGTCCAAGAGAAGGGATACGAATATTCCTGTTAACAATGTGTCATGGATTGAATTGTGTCCCCCCAAAAATACCTGTCAACTTGGCTGGGTCATGATTCCCGGTATTGTATAACTGTGTACCATTTTGTAATGTATTTTCTTGTGTTGTAAATTCAATCATTATGATCTAATAAGACGGGATTAGCAGCAGTTACACTGATGAGGTATATAAGATTGGATAGTATCTTAAGGCAATCTCTTTTGAGATATAAATGAAAGAAGTGAGCAGAGACACATGGGAACCTCACAACACCAAGAAAACAGTGCTGAGAGCAGAGTGCGTCCTTTAGACCTGAGGTTCCTGCGCTGAGATGCTCCCAGACCAGGGGAAGACTGATACATCACAAGGACCTTCCTCCAGAGCTGACAGAGAGAGAAAGCCTTCTCCTGGAGGTGATGCCCTGAACTTGGACTTGTAGCCTACTGGACTATGAGAGAACAAACTCCTCTTCGTCAAAGCCATCCACCTGTGGTATTTCCATTATAGCTGCACTAGATGCTTAAGACACAATGTAATATCAATAAACTGGCCTTGAGTTTCATTCTATTAGGATGAACCTGTTACTTCAAAGTTTGATCTTTCACCTTGGATAAACTCAGAATTAAGGCTTACAGTAAAAGCTGTATCAGAATTAGAACTACTAAGATGTTACTTAGACTGAAACAGATGAGAAATTCCCCCTAGACTGTTACTACTAGGCAAGGCAATCCCACCTTTTTATCTTCCTAGACACTACTACTTCATAGCTGTCAAAACACTCCCTTTGCACACTGTTGCTAACTTAATGTTTTTACAAATTTAGTTTACACAATATATGCCTTTCGGAAAGCAAGTGGAAAAGAATCTTAGGTACCTTTATCTCCTGTAGAGACAGGCTTCCTACTTGAATATAACAATTTTAAGAAGGTTGACAGTCCAGCTCACAAAATGAGATTCTATTTTGTAAATATAAAACAAAATTTACACATACCTTACTCAAAGTTTTGCTTTTCTTGCAAAATTGTTTTTCTGATTCTTCGGTAAAGATTTGTTTGTTCTTCGTATCTATTCGTCTTCGCAGGTCCAGGAACTTTGACTTACGCTTCATATTCTTCTCTAGATACTTGACCCGTCGATGACTGATACTTGAAATCCCACCATATCTATGAGCAGAACAGAAGAAGCTGACTCAAACCTTAAGTTCTATGAGTTTAAGAAAAGTTTTAAAGAGAACAAAATGAACAATTATCACTAGTTTTTTTTCCTATTAGCAGCCACCATTTTAATTTCATTTTTAAATTATGAAAATGAAGAAATAAAGTTCAAAAATGCAGAGAAGTTTAAGGTCTAGTTTGTATGTTAATTCTAAACCAAATGTGAAACATCAAAGTTGGGATATCAACATACCAAACACAGAGCAGAAAGCAGAAATTATACAAAAACCAAAAACCCACTGTTGTAGAGTCAATTGTAACTCATGGCAACCCGAGGTGTTAGAGTGGAACTGCTCCATTGGGTTTTCTTGGCTGTAATCTTTACCACTGCCAGGTCTTTCTTCTATGGTGCCACTGTGTGCATTCGAACTGCCAACCTTTAGGTTAGTAGTTGAGTGCAAACCGTTTGTGCCACTGAGGGAGCCTAGAAATTATACAGTGGAATATAATAAAGAAACAGCAGAAAAACATAACCATTGCATGTTATAGGGAATATAATTTTTTCTCAAGGTAGGATGATGTCAAAGTTTTTAACACATATCTGGATATCTTCAAATTATCGAGTGGTCACTAAATTCTTGACCTAAATCAATCTGAGTTTACACAAGAAGAAAATCCCTACTATCAATATGATTAGAGAATGTCTGCTGATGTAACCATCTTAATTTTTATAATCCTAAAAGACTGTATACTGTTAAGCCTTATCTGCTTCACAGCATATGAAGTTACCTGCCATGGAGCCTTCTTTGACTATATCAAGCCTTGTTTGACTCCCTCTCCCTCAACTTATTAGGGACTCAGACTATAATACACAATTAAGTACTTATATAAAATCATAAATAGCTTGGTTTTAAATGCCAGGTCTTGTCTTCTAGCCATATTATAAACTTCTTTATAACAAAAAGTACATCTTATCCTTCTCTTTTTAGTAGAACTGGGCACTTTAAATAGAACGGGATAGTTAAGCTAAATCCTAGTAAACTGAATTAAATATCTAAGAGTGTATTCTAGCAACAGCTACCCAAGTAATTTCTCAATAAAATTACACGTGGGTAGTAATATATTCTGCCAGGAATTTAAAGCAGTATCAGAACAGCCTTTTATATTACTAAACTTAATGATTTTTTAGGCTTATATGATCATATGAAATATAGTTGCCTTGAAGTACCAGAAGGAAGAGATAATCAATAATCTTTAAAAATTACTCATAGTATTATAATTATCTTCATGTACTTCTGAGCTAATTTGGATTTAATTTAGAAGTGAACCTTAAGATAGTCTATGTCCTTCTCTTGCTGACTTCACAATGTGTAGGTATCTATTTGAATTTCACAACTTAAAAAATGAGAAAGTAGGACCTCAAGCCTCAACCCTTAGAAATATCAAAGACCCCAGTGTTGGTTTAAATTGCTGGTGCAAGCTGACATTAACTGTAGGTCTTTAGCGTGCCTTAACTATTCAGCTCGGTCTTCACGTCATGTGCAATAAACTCTTTAGTTGTTCTTATATGATTAGCTACTTATTCATATCTTCCTTATCTTTACACAAATGTCCATAACAGCTTTATCTGTAATAGCAAAATACTAGAAAACAAACCCAATGTCCTTGATAAATAGTTGAACACACTTTGTTAGATCCATACAACAGAGTACTATTCAGCAATAAGAAGCAATGAAGTATTGGTACATGCAATAACCTGGATGGACCTGAAGGGCATGGTGCTTAGATCTTCACTGCACTATTACCTGTAGTAGCCCCAAACAGGAAACAGTCTAGATGTTCATACAACCTAGATGGTTAACTAAACACTACGTCTCTACCAATAGGATTAGGTAAATGTTTTATGTACTGACAAGGAAGGTGTCCATGGTGCACAGTTCAGTAAAAAAAAGCAAGCTGCAGATAATGTACCCTAAGATGCTATTATTTTTCTGTTTTATAAAACAGGAGTAATGTTCATAACATACTACACAGTCATAAAAATACACATATAAATAAATTTGGAAGAATATATGCCAAACTCTTTTAACACTGCCTACCTCTGGTGAATGTTGTAAAGGAGAGATTTTCACTTTTTACCTCTTACTTTGGTTTGAGTTTACTACGTTCGTAACAAATAAAAAAGGTTATTGCAGATTTGAACTTTTCATGGCATGTTTGCTAAATTCCTGTGAGATGCTAGGTGAAAAGAAAAAACTTTGTTTAGAAGTTACAAGATCTGGGTTGAATCCCCCTCTCCAGTAAATGATATGATCTTGACCAAGTCAAAATCTCTGAATTATGTTGCTTTATCTATGAAAGGGGAATAACAAGACTGAATTGTTATGAAGCTCAATCACATTAATATATGTGAATACATCAACTGTAGGGTGGTATCTACAATTCTTACTAACAAAACAGATTAGTGTTTTAACTGTAAAATCTCAAGTGTCATAACATACATTACCACTTATTAACTATCTGAATACCAGAGAAGATACTGAGAAAATGATAGCATTTATGAATAATTACTTTTGTCCTGAGCCATGCTTGAATCCTAGAAGACAACCATTTTCATCAAAGTCTGAATGTGGGTTTTCATCGATGTCCAGTTCATGGCTAAATAAATAAACGTAAACAGTGATAAACCATTACCTCCAGAGCCCAACAGTGCAGGCAAGTATCAAAAGGTGCATATAACCAACCTATGCAAACTTTTTCATCACAATAATCCACCACAGTTCACAAATCTAGGAATGTAGGAAAAGAGTGCTTTTATTAGGATTTTCCAAATGTGATAAAGTATCCAACAGTGTTTGGAACATACTAATAAGTACTCAAATCTTAAACCATGTCATGTAATTATCTCCATTCCTGAACATGGTACAAACATGGACCTCCCCATTTTTTGAAAAACACCCGTAAAAGCTGCAGCCTTAAACTTATCTCCTAGTTCAATTTCCCTAGAGGTTTTCCTTAAAAACAAAGGAAACATTTGAGAAGTATCAACCCAACCAAAATAAAGAAATAGACTGCAAAAGAAAAAATATTATTTAGGAAGAATAAGGCTGTGATACAAGTGATATTAAGAAACCCATATATCAGGGATACCTTTCATAACCTCAACAGTGTGAGCCACAGTGTACCAAGTAAACGAAAACAGTGATGAAATAATTATTACAAAGTTTATCCTTCTAATTAAGTTAAACTCATCAAACATTTACCATGTAACTACCAGGAATATAACTACACACATGGTCCCTGCACTTCAGGACCCAGAGGAACTAGTAGGGAGCTAACAAGCAATGTCTACTAGAAAGAGGGAACACAGTAGAGGCATGCTTTTATGTACTACATTCCTGAGTCTCCTAAACTTGCTCACTGCTCTTTTGAAAGCTGTATTGAACATAAAATCTTAGGTGGAGCAACTCATATTCCGTCAGATAAATGGTTCTGGCTAACGTCCAAATTCTGTAATAATCTACCCTTTCCTTGAGTATCTCTGGCCATTAGCATTTGACCATATCCGACTTTAGATTATTCTCTACTTGTTTCTTTACATGTATGAAGAGTATAATAGAAAGAACACTGCCTTAAGAAGCAGTTGGTCAGGGCACCAGCCTTATAGCTGCCATTCTATTGTTGCTATGTAACTCTGGGTAAGGCCCTTATCCTGCTTTCCTTAGTATTCCTGTGTACATAAGGAGAGCATTAGATTTGATATATCTGAAGTCTATTTGAGGAATAAAACTCTGTGATTATACCCAGACTTTTTTTTTTGGGGGGGGGGGGGAATGAACTTCCATGAGAGAGATCCTATCAAATTATTAAAAACTACCATCCACTGCACACTCATTGTGTGTCAGATAATACATGCCAGTTCCAATCCTTCCAATCATCCCCCCAAAACAGGTACCACTTCCATTTCATAGATGAGAATGCCCAGGGCCTTCTTGTCTGTGTGTCCTGCCTCTTCTCCGCACAGGATTAGCAGTGTTGTACATAGACCAAGTATTTCATAACCACTCACTCATGTCCACAAACACTTATGTTAAGACATTTTGGAGAGAGAGGTGATGTGTAACTTGCCTCCTCTTGAGTTTAGTTGGTTTACATTCAGGTGGATCTTCTTCACTCTCATCTCCATCAATATCATTGGTATGTGGTCTTTCTTTGCTTGTGTTTGCTCCTGAAGATTCCTGTGAATCTAAAGAGGCAGAGATATTGCAGTGGATTTTTCCCCTTTACTATAGGTTTGACAACTCTTCTGCCATTTGCAAAAGCAATCAAAAAATTTCAGTGCCTCTCCTGCAACGAACTGTACACGCACACCAGGCACACTGCCAGACCACACCCAACTACATATTGTGTGTGTCTACCTGCAAAGTCTGAGCATAAAGAAATGCATAGCCATGCCTATTAAGGTTTAAAAGTTTCCATGATGTATTTAAAAAGTCAACTAAAACTACTTCTTCAGAGCTGTTCAAGTAGTACAATTAACCCACAAAGTTACCTTTGTGATAGCATATTCAGATGGAATTTTAATCTAAATGATTCTGAAGACAGCATGATCACAAACGGATTTCTCTTTATTAAGAAGCAAATATATTTCATTTTCCCTGTCTTTGTGCTTTATTTTCAGAGTGGAATAAAGTGGGCAGAGTGGGACTAAAAGTTGCAATGTGCCTGGAGAGTAGACAGGGGAGTGCTTTGATGATTTAGGGAGAACACCCAAACCACAAACAGTAGAAAACACAGTCACATAGAAATGCAACATACACTTTATATTTTGACCTCAAGGGAGGATCTAAATCAAAACTGAACATCCTTAAATTGATCCTAATGGCAGACACACTAGCACTAATTCCAGAAATGGCCAATCTATAAATGTAACTTAGGGAACAGGCAACAGAAGGCAGAGGCTGGGAGAAGGTTTATTATGTTTGCTAAAGGAAGAAAAGTAGAAAGGGAGGATAATCAAAGTAATATAAAGCAATAAAATAGGGGCCAATACATTGACCAAAATACATACTAAAAATTTTATGGTAAAAATAAGTACAGATCAGTATCAGAAGAGTACAGAAACGTAGAGAAGAATATCAGAACACTAATATAAGCTCCACCATAAGAATATATACAGAGAAAATAGAAATAAGGAAGTAGTTAGTTAGACCTCCCCCAGATTCCTTCAGTAACTCTTTTAAGGAAACTCTCAACTAGATGAAGTAAGATCTGCAATCTGAGATGAGCAAAGCAAACCCAATTGTTAAATGAAAGGTTACAAGCTTTTGCTTCACATAGGAATGAGGCTGAGAAGAAAGTCCATATATACCAGACTTCTCCAGCATCAAACATCAAGGACGCCAAGATGACATCTATAATCACTGGGTTTTAGGATGTTCAAGTTACAAAATTTCCTGCTCTCCCATCTCCCAGTGCCACTAGTTCCCTTCTCCCTAGCAAGAATATGCTCATCCTGCCATTCTCAGTGCTTTCTTTACTCCTGACAATGGCACCAGTCCGCACGAGTTTTTTTTTAATCACTTATTCAAGAACCATCCAAGTTTCTTATCCTGTATACTTTACTGATGAGACCTAACTGAAATCTTTCTACGTAGTTAAAAATTAATATCATGCCCTCCTGAGATTCTTTATAAAGCAAGACTTCATTTGTCCAGAATGAATTCCACATATGACTCACAATGAAGTTTGCCTTATGCCAAACTTATGCTCCCAACCACTCTTGAACTCTGTTTCTTATAAATTCATTTGCTCTGGAGAACCTTGGAAGTTCCAAGCTCACTCTAAATTAGATTTCTCATGGGATTTCCAAGTTTTACTTCACTGGCCACCAAGGTATAAGAAGCAGCAACGGTATCTTTGAGAATTCTATGCAAGTATTCTTTTTGTTAATATAAAACGGTAATAATTTGTGATACAAAAATAAGATGGATTAAACCATTTCATTATTATAAGAATGTATTTAACATCACTTAACTCTATCATAAAGGATTAATGTTATTTTGCTAAATAGATTCATTTTGCTATCCATTACTGAACCGAGTAAGTCTCGACTGATCTTACCCTGAGCTGGAGGATTTGTGTTTCTAGTCCTAGTCATGTTGCTTTTCTTGGTTCCTCCATCACATGGTTCACTTTGGCCAGAAGCGGGGCATTCTCTTCTGCTGCTAACTTCACTTAGCTCTTGAAGGCCATCGTGATTTTCAGAAGACTCTAACTGGTTTTGTTCTACTTCCTCTGAATTCAGAATTATATTACAAATTCTATCAAGTATTTCATTATGATCTTTATCACTTGAACTAGAGCTTTTATTACTAATTGTAACAGATGAAGATGGAAAAGAAATTAAGTCCACTTTCACACAATTTTCATCACTGTTGCTGTCAACTTCTGTTTGAGATTCACAAGTATCTGTATCACAGCTTTGTGAAGCATCAAAAGTCCAACCCTGAGCTTCCCAATACTGAAATTGTTCCAAATAATACCAATAGAGTTGACTGTAATGTTGCTCCCATTCTTCCTTTGTGTCAGGAAAGTTCCAAGGTTCAGAAGATAGTGTTTGACCTGTATGTTTTTCTTGCCAGCTTTGCCATAATAGCCCTCCTCCATATTCATTCCAATACTTTTCCCATTTCTCTGTAATTTCTAGTTTTAGAGATAACGTATTTTCAACAGGAAGATTTTCAGTTTCAACGTCTTTTCCGCTTTGAATTTTACATGTTCTGGTGTTCTCATACTGTTCAACTGAAGACGGACCTTCTGAAGCCAAAATGTCGTCTTCGTCATATTCTTCTCTCCAAGATTCTCTCATAATTTCATCTAAGTACTTCTTCTGATGTTTTTTCTTTTTTCTCTTAACTTTATTTTTAGCATTCATAGACACCTATATCAGACAAATGACAACTTGAATATAAATGCACTTCTTAAACTGTAAAACAAACTAGAATCCAAATCTATTTTGACATTAAAATAAACAAAACCCACCCTAGACTTTTAGTTACACAAACAAATGTACTTCACTGTCTATGTTCCCAAGAGAAAGAAAAGGCACACGTGGGGCACATCACAACTTGCAAGTTTGGTTAATTTATAAATACACACTTAAAAAGAGGTGGAATGCTCTACTTCATGACATACATTAGAACTGAGATAAAAAAATAATTCATTGGAATATTTTATGAAGAACACTAAGAAATAGGAAAAATAAAAGTGAATTAATACTTACCTCAAAATTCTTATGCATAGATGTTCCACCAAATTGAAGTGGCAGTCCCATGCTTCTCATGAGTTCAGCCTCAGAATCAAGTTCACTTTCATCTAGGACTATATCTTTGCTGCCATGTGTTTCTGCACTGCCACGGGAAAGATCACCTCCCTCCTCTTCTGTAGTCTGGTCTCCTATAGACAGCATGTTAGCTTAAAGAAAATTTAGAGGCACGTTTTATTGTCCTCATTTTAAAGAAGTAGAACCTGAGACCCAGAGTGATCACATGACTCTCCCAAAGTAGAAGTAAACAAATGCTATGATTTTTAAGATGAGGGAAAAAAAGGACGTAAGGGTAAAGAGCGCTAGTAACAAAAATAGCCAACTAAGAATCAAGAAACAACTTCTAGTTCCAGCTTTGCCTGTCTTCTATCCATCCAGCTGCCCATTCAACTTATATTTATTGAGCATTTGTTCTGCGTCAAGTGCTATGCAAAGTACTGAGGACACAAGAGGGAAAAGGGTAGACAAGGTCTCTGTTCCAAAGGTAGTGTAACCATGGGAAACACACTTAAATTTTCAGATTCTGTACCTGCAAAATTACTGGACTAGATCAGTGGATTTAAAATTATGACTTATGTAGTCACTTTACATTAAAGAAAGGTAAGTGATATATCATCAAGCCTCTCAGATATTTCAGTCACAAATGGGATTTAGATACTGGGATTCTGTGTAAGAGTTGATTTAATGAAGGGGCTCTGGTATTAAAAGTTTGAAATTCACTGAACTGGAAGATCATTTCAAACTGTTTGATTCTATCTAGTTTTTACAGTAAAACTATTTTATTATAATAAGTTTTACTTTATCTTAATAGGATTATCTAATAAATCATACCACTAATCAGACAAATGCCATTCAAATGCTCTGTTTAAAATGTGAGATAATAGCTATTTTGCATATTAGCATACTCAAACTATCTTAAAGATTGCAGCTCAATGATCACAGGCAACAGAACAGGGAGTCTTCCAAAGGAAAAATGGAGACTAATAAAAAAGGAATCTCATGTGCACAAATTCTACTAAAGAGGTTCCTAAATGAGAGAGGCAAAAAGATACCATTTAAATAATGAAGGAGATTCTACCCATCATTCCATTCAATAAACTTATGAAAGCTCAGGAAAAGAGCAAAGTGGGGAAAATGAACCAGCTAACTTTTATGTTTCCTTCACGGTACGCTTATTTTCTTATGTTCTGTGGGCGGCCTTGTGTTTAAGTTAAAAGATTTTCAAGGGTAACCAAGACATGCTTTACTTTTGTCAACCTTATTAAAAGATCTATGTGGAAAGGACAAATGGAGTCCTGGTAGGGAAGTCTAAGAGAGAAAAGAAGGTTTTGTTAATTAGGTTAGGCTTAATGTACAGACCAAATTCTATTTGTTAACTGGGAAAGTTAACCCTTTACTTCATGCAGAAAGCTTTTGAGGTTTACTTGGAATTTATCCTGAATCATTTACCTATATAACAAAACTTTGATGAAGAAACCATACATTCCCAACTTTCCAAACTTCAAATTCCAAGTTGCTCTTATCTAATGGCAACAACTCAAGAAGAAATACTACACAGAAAAAACAGGCTACATCAAGTCCATCCAATAGCTACAGGAAAATACAAGATTTACTTTAACAGGGATTCTAGAACCATGGTATAATAGAGAATGAAGATGGTCTATGATTACAGGATCACTTCTCACTTTTCATATTTTATGCTAAGAAATTAATACAACACTATAACAAATTACAGACAAATGAATACAGTATTACATTACCTGCATTATTGCTATTGCCTTTGACATAGTAGCCTTTTAATCCCAAATTGCACAATATTCGATCCCTGTGAAGCAAATTAAGCAGTCCATATTAAAATAAATTAAGCTATAAATTTAGAGAAAAAGTAAACTCAAGGCAGTATAATTAATAATAATGCTCCTTAGACAGAAAAGCAATCTGCTAATAAATTCTCCTCACCTATAATATATAGTATTACATATCTCAATGGGCTTGTTTTAAGGATTGATAGCTTATGTAAAATATTTAGCATAATGCCTGACACAGTAAGCATTTATAAATATAACTGCTAATTATTAAAATCAAGTGGTAGGTCCTCCTAGATGCTGAAGGGGAAGAATCCTATCCTCCTTATGATATACCAACAATGAGGTGTTTTCTAAACTTTGTTGGAAGAATTGAGTAAAAATAACAGTAAGAAGATTTCACTTATGCATATGTAAATCCACATGCAGATAGGCTAAACTATCCATTGCCCAACAGACCAGAGAGTCATGGTCTGGGCAGAGCTTATTTTGGGGAACTAATATACAACAAAGTTCTCATTTAAATATTTTATCAAACTGAAAAATAAATTAAGATAAAACAATTCAGTCTCACTAACTTTTGAAAAACAAAAAAAAAAAAAACCCAAAAAAAACCCCCATTGCTGTTGAGTCGATTCTGACTCATAGCGACCCTATAGGACAAAGTAGAACTATTCCACAGGGTTTCCAAGGAGCGCCTGGTGGATTTGAACCACTGACCTTTTTGGTTAACAGCCTGAGCTCTTAACCACTACACCACCAGGGTTTCCAATCTTTTAAAACAGCGACTGGTTAAACTTTTCTTTACATATCTACTTCTAAAATTTTTCTTTATCTACTAAGATTAGTAATTATATAAACAAAATAAAAGTAACAGGATACTTCAAAAAAAAAAAGTGGAAGATTTTGTTATTAGTATTTTCATATCAGTAAATTCAGTAACTGAATTGTTACTCCAATGTAACGCCCACAATAAGGCCAATTTCAAGTCCTAGCTAACACTACTTTTGTAATGGAGTTACAATAAATTCAACAAAATAAAATCCTCATATACCTGATCTATTTCATATTCTCCTGTCTCTCTGGCAGCATGCTCATGGCCACCAAGAACACGGGACACTGAAGAGAGAAATGGGAACCACACAGAGGGGATCAGTGGTGCACTGCCAGCACCCAAGGATACGGGGCACTAGGTCCGGTGCAACAGAGGTCCATTACAGTTGGAAGACTGCACATATTGAGTAAATAAGTAAATATGAGGATAATGACAGCCAAGATTCTCCTTGTTGGGGAAGGTTATTTAAAAACACAGAAACAGGGAAGGCTAGAAAGAACCCTAAGGTGTTGGACTAAAATTGGAAATATTGTTACGAGGTCATGGTTTTTAAATTTATATACATAGTAGATATAGATATAGTTTTAAATGTGTGTAGATATGTGTATGTATGTAAAATATACACATATATACATAAATACATATGTGTATATATATATATGGACACACTGTCTAACTCTTGTCTGCTGACAGGGTGTAGAAGCACTGACAATCTAGAAGCAATAACCACAATGAGCACCCAAATCTTGGTATCTAAATACTATTTTCCACTAAAAGGAACTAGGGTGCCTTGGAGAAACAGCAATTCAGTGTTGAAGCATGAACTGTAAAAAATGAGCCTGGGTCACCCTGTTGTGCCAGAAGATTAGGAAGCACTCAAAGAATACTTGGGACATAACAAAAGGACAAAGGAGCAACCACGAAGGGGCCCCATCAGCCAAATCTAAGACAATGAGCACCAAAATAAGTGAGTAAAGAAATAAATGAGGAGAGAAGGGAAGCGCTTCCTTACAGTTGAACGCTAAGTAACGAATGTAGACAGAAGGAAACAGAGAATCACTATCTGCCAACCGTCACAGAGGTAGCTGATTCAGGTGGAAATTGTCAATGAAGGCGAAGGTGTGTGTGTTTGTTGAAGAACACAGTACTGATATAATGCTGGACTAACTCCCTACAAAATACTAATTAATCCAAAGGTTACAGTGGAGAAATCTGACAGACACGAACATGACTAGGTAATCAAGGTCAATATCACTAATCGGTCAACATGAAGTGTCACTGATGTGATGAACAGAGAAGAGTACAGTATGATTTCTGTGGCATTCCTGCCAAGAAGGCAGACCCAACTCTGTTTCTGACAAAACATCAGATGGACTCAGGTTAAGCAGGGTCATCCTTTTTCTGTTGGGTGTGTGAAAGAGTGGGAGTGAAAAATTTTTCTAGATAGGAGGGTATTCACAAGACATAGTAATTAATAATATACAACAGGTTCCTAGGTGGGATCCTGGATCAAAAAAGAAAGAGACACATTGTTGGGACAGCTGGTGAAACTTGGAATTTGAATCCACTACTGTGGGTTATAAAAAAACCTGTGGTTGTCAAGCCAATTCCAACTCATAGAGATCACATGTGTTACATAATAGAACTGTTCCATAGAGTTTTCTTGGTTGTATTGGAATTGAATTCATGACAACAGGTTTGGTTTAGGTTCTTACTATGTTATATGGTGTTTATGTAGGAAAAAATCCTTGTTTTGGGGGAAATATACAACAGACTATTTAAGAGAGCACACACATCCCTGTGGGGAGAGAGATGGTGCAAACACTGGTGATTGTTAACAGTTGGTGAATCTTGGTGTGGGAAAAATGGGAGTTCTTTGTATATTTTTTTATGTTTGAAATCATTTCAACATGAATTACTTAAAAAACAAGCAAACAAGTAAAACACATTATTTATAGTACAGTGTTATAACAATAATAAAAACCAGTAACTCCACATCCCAACATTTTCCTGTGTTCTATTCTAGGCTTTGTACATAAGTACATAAAATATTTAAATAACTATAATCATAGTGCAAATATTATTTTACATTCTGATTTGACAATTTAACACAAGTATTTTTTATGTTACTACCAAGCCAATGGAGCCCTGGTAGTGCAGTGGTTAAGAGCTTGGCTGCTAACTAAAAGGTGTGCAGTTTGAATCCACCAGCCACTCCTTGGAAACCCTATGGGTCAGCTCTACTCTGTCCTGTAGGGTCGCTATGAGTCGGAATCAACTCAAAAGCAACAAGTTTCAGTTCTGGTTTACCAAGCTCCTGTAATGATTCTTTTTAAGAGCTACATATGTATCATTTAAATTACATGTCTTTTTCATACTGATTATGTATAGAAACTTGAATGTAGACATGAAATAGAATATTACTTCCTCTGAACTTTCAGCAGGGCACGCATCCCCCAGGACTTCTCAATGACTACTGGTAGCAATTCCAAGATCACATCTCTAGGGCTAAGCTAAAGAGTTAGTTTGTCTGAGCATTAATTAATCTCAAGGAAAAAGCCATTCTTTTTTGAACTTACAGCAGCTTCTAAAGGTGAAGTAGAGTCTTTAATGTGTAAGATATGTATCAAATTATCTGTAATGACTAGGATGAACATTTTAGATCAAAAAGACTCAACTCAATGTAATGGTAATTGAATTGTATTTTAAATAAAGTTGCTTTAATTCATACCAGTTGAATATTGTTTTCTAGAGGTATAGTGTAACAGAATTTTACTCAACTTTTTATGTTTCATAATTTATATTCCCTCCTTCGTCCTTCTTGGAACAGAGCCTTAATGGAGATAGCACCAGGACCCAAATGGGCTATAGACTAAGTATGGAGAAGCCCTGGCTGGCACTGAAGGCAAGTGGACTCATCTTTCTTGGCCTGCAAATCCAAGATACAGCTAGGTAATCTTTTCTGGTGAGTTCCTTGGTCCTGACCATGCAATCTACATGCCTTCTTAGAATGTAGGTCAGGAAGGTCCAGAGGGAGAAGCAGAAAGATACTTTTTCATGGGTGAGAGGTGAAACAGGTGCCAAAGGTTATTACTAGACATCACAAGACTACTTCCAATAGTTTTGGCTATTATATAATCTTCCAAAAAACCAAACCCATTTCTACCGAGTCAATTTCAACTCATAGCAACACTATAGGAGAGTAGAACTGCCCCATAGGCTTCAATGGAAACAACAGAAAAAGTATGAAATGGAAAACAATTAGTGTCTGGCACTTAGTAAGTAATCAATCTGGTCTATATTTTTTTTTTTCAATTTTGCCAATTCTAGTGGATATTTTTAGTCCTTGTTTTGCTTGACATATTAGCAATCTCCAATGCTGGTTACTCCTTCCTTGAAACACTTGGTGACAGTGTATGTTCTGGGCTTGCCTTCTACCTCTCTGTCCCCAGTTAACACACCTCTTCTCTTCTGACCTTTAAAAAATGTTGGAATTTCTCAAGGATGGATTCCACCGTTCCACTCTCCCTGTTGCTAAATTAATGGCTTCAATTATTATCTAAAAATGGATGGCTTAAGTTCTTATGACAAGCTCAGATGTCTCCAGAGCTCCAAACCAATGTATTCAACTACCTATAACATCTACTATTGGATATTTCATACACTAGCTGCCACTGAGTCGATTCCAACTCATGGCGACCCCACGTGTGTTAGAACAGAAAATGTGCTCCACAGGGTTTTCAATGGCTCATTTTTTGTAAGCAGATTGCCGGTCTTTCTTCCCAGGCGCCTCTAGGTGGACCTGAACCTCCAACCTTTCGGGTGCATTAACATACGCATCATCCAGGTATCTCAAAATCAGTATGTACAAAATTGAACTCACGACCTACTCACTGCTATCCCAAAATAAAAACCATGATTTCCAATGGTCTCCAGCTCACTGACAAGCATCAGCATAAGCCAGAAACCAGAGAGTTATTCTTGACCCAGTCTCCTCCTTTCCATCCTTTATTGCCCACATCCAGACCAATTCCCCAACCCCAACAATTTCTTACCTATCTTTTCCCCAGTTTCCATTTCCACTGCCATTGATCCTAATTCAAACCATCATAATCTCTTCCCTGGATAATGGTCATAAAAGGTTCTCCTCCAAACTATCCTCCATTCTGTTGCTGGAGTAATCTTTTCAAAGTGCAAATCTGATCATGTCACTCCCTACCTTAAAGTCTTATAATCCACAGAGTCCTGCATGTTTTGGCCCTGTCAACTATCTCACCAATACTATCTCCTATCTTTCTTTCCCAGTCACTGTGTTTCAGTTTTGCTGGCTTTCTTTTGAACCTCCAAGGGGTTTACGCAGGGTTCCCCCTCTGGACATGTTTCCTCCCACACAAACTTATGAGTTACCAGCTGTCCTAAGCTGACTCGAACTCATGGCAACTCCATGTTTGTCAGAGCAGGACTGTGCTCTGCAGGGTTTTCAATGGCTGATTTTCTTCCCCCGGAGGTAGATCACGAGGCGTTTCTTCTGAGGTGCCTCCTCAGTTTGTCTCCACTCACTCTTTAGACCTCTATTCAAATGATTACTTCCTCAAAGAAACCTCGTGACCCTTAGAGAAAGATTAAGCTGTTATCATAGCATACTTTCATAGCACTTATAAAAATAATTAACCAGGTGACTGTATAAATGGTTGTCTTAATATTGATCTCCTTTCCAAGAAAGTTAACACAATGGGGGTAGGGACAGGCTCTGTCTCGTATCCCAGGGCCTACCAGGGTACCTAACACAATAAGCATTTGTTGAATGAATGCATGAATACAAAGACAACGGATTTTGTTTTGAGAAGGTCTACTTTTTACATTAAATTTAACAAAACATTTAATTTCTTTTTGGGATAATTTTCAGATTATTTCACAAAAACATGATTGATAATTAAAACAAAATGATTGGGAAGTAGGGCACTCTCAGTACTGTGATTATACCTCAGGCATAAGAAGATATTTTAAAATTCTGTATTGATATGAATAGTAACAATCTCTTCAAACTTAAATTTACCACATTAAACATACCAAAAAGCTATCACATAAGATTCATTTCTACAGCATTTGATTCTCACAATAAGCATGTGAGATAATTAGGCCAAATATGCATATTTTAGAAATGAATAAAGACTTAAGTATTTTAAGTCAAAGATACAAGATTGAGAAAACCATTCCTAGAATCCAGTTCTATATTCTGCTTTTTCCTATACACTAGCTATCTTCCATGCAGGGCAATTTTTGCCTGATCGAAACGTTTTTCAAAGATAAAAATATCTCAAAAACTGATGTAAACATAGCTAAACATTTTATCTTATATAATCATTAATTCTAATTATGTACATTTCAACTTTAATGGATCTTAAGGTTTTCAAAAAGATGTTCACCAAAACAAGTATCCAACTTTAAAACCGCACCTTGTGACGTCACACCCACTAAAACGATTACATTTTAATTCCATTTTCTTGCAATATTTAAATGTGTCCTCAATTTATAAATATGAAACGACATGTTAGCTAGCACTTTTTTTTCGTAACAGCTTCCAAAGTAGGTTCAGTCCTTCACGCACTAATAACGGCAGAAAGTGACCACTCTGTATAATGTCTGGGAACCTTTTTTCTTTAAACATCACCTTGCCTAAGGGTCAAATACTCTAGCCCCAGTTTCAGGGATCAATTACAACTACTTCGGTAACACGTATATTTCTGAGAAATGGTCGTACTAGTAATAAGGAGAAACACGTTCTTACTCCACAAATGCCCTGGTGCAGAGGCAGCGGATCTTATAATCCTCCTCCAGGTCTTCAAAGAAGAGAAACATTTCGGCGACGCGGCTCCACTTTTCGCAGCACATTTTACCCCCTCAGAGGCAGCCCTGTTACACACGGCACCCGCCAGGCCTCCGCTTCGTTACCCGAGACCCACGGGAAGCCTCCCCGGCCCTGCCTGCACTACAGACTAGGGGTTAGGAACGAGCCTGGGACCTCCCGCAAGCTCGAGAGGGGCCGCCAACGGAAGTGGCGGGAGAGGCACGGGAAGGGGTGGTGGCGGCACCGGAAGGGGTGGTGGCGGCACCGGAAGGGGCGGGACCACGGGGGTGTAACACGAAACGCAGCCCGGGCTGCAGCGGCTTTTGGCTTTTTTCTCACGGATGCGCCCGTGGCTCAAATCTCCGAGCTTTACTTAGACGTCCGACCACCGGGAGGCTCCCGCTGCCGCTCGCTCCCGCCCGCCCGAGGTGCGTCGCATCTCTTTCTTGGCTTTTCCGCGTTCCTCTCCGCCCAGCGTTCGGGCCCGCTTGCCGTCTCGCCCGGTTCAGAGCGGGGAAAGCCGCGCGTCGCGTTTCCCGGGGCCGCACATGCGGCCCCGGATCCTCAGTCGAGCGGGAAGGTCCTACCTGAGTTCTTTCTTTTTTCGCTCCTCATTTTCCCTCGCGCTCAAAATCCTCCGATTTGGCGTGTTTCGTCCAAACTTAGGGGGTGAAGCGAGGCTTCTCCTACCTCACTGAAGGTCTCTAGACTTGCCCAGTAGACATTTTTCGAGCCCGCTATGTGTAAAAGCTAAAGGAAAGTATGTGAGGATTACGAGAGTTTAGAGGGAGGCCTTATGGGAAGTGGTTAAGTGTTTGCATCCTTGGAATCCTGGTTATGACCCTTTACTGGTTGTGCACCCGGGCAAGCACCTTAACCTGTCTGAGCTTCATGTTGATAATCTGTAAAATGAAGATGATTTATATTACCTACGTCATAGGGCTGCTGAAAGGGCTTTTGCATCAAAAGGTCTTTACGGTCAAGTCTATTCCCACCCGTAATAATCCTATAGGACAAAGTAGAACTGCCCCATAGGGTTTCCAAGGCTGTAAATCTATATAGAAGCAGACTGCCACATCTTTCTCCCTCGGAGCGCGCTGACCTTTCGATTAGTAGCCGAGCGCTTTAACCACTGAGCCACCAGGGCTCCTCAAACCTTGCTTAGGTGCTGTTAATAGTTTGAGTGGGTGCACATCTTGCAGGCTCCAGGTGCGAGCTCCGTCCCGGTGGTTTGCAGTTATGTAAAGCAGGTCTGCCCTCGACTGCTAATAATCTAATAAGAGGAGTAGATGTAAACATAAGTAGAATAGAGAAAACTGGAGCAGCACTGTTGGATTTGAGAAAGATGTGTGGTATTCGTTGAGATAGCCTAGGCAGCTTCGTCAAGGAACCAAGTCCGGACTTGATTTTGTTGGAGGTTTGTACTATTAAAGACAACGGGCATTGGTATTTCTTTAGAACTGCATAAAACTGAAGTAAAATGCAGACGTTTAGGACGGTCACCAATATTTTGGCCGCATTTACCAGTGCAGACAAAGTATTGGTGGAAAATATGGGTTGAAATAGTAGATTAATTTTAAAATAAAAGGTTTATTCCCATATTCTTTACTTCTGCTCTGCTTTGATGTCAGAGATACGCTGACTTCAGTGACTCAAGGTAAGTGCTGCATAATTACAGATGGTGTGTAATTTTGAGTTGATTCTGACTCATAACAACACTATAGAACAGAGTAGAACTGCCCAATAGGGTTTCCTAAGAACTCAGGTGGAATAAGCTCGAATCCACCAGCTGCTCCTTGGAAACCCTATGGGGCAGTTCTTCACTGTCCTATAGGGTCGGTATGAGTCAGAATCCCCTCAACAGCAAGGGGTTTGTTTGTTTGTTTGTTTCTGGTTAATCTTTACAGGAGCAGATCAGATCTCCAGGTCTTTTCTCCTGCCTGAGCCACTGGTGGGTTCCAGCAGCTACCGTTTTTGGTTAGCAGCCAAGCCCTTAAACATAGTGTCATCAGGGCTTCTAAAATACATCTGTATAAATGTGCGACTTTTTTTTTTTTTTTTTTTATCAGGGGCTAGGTTAAAAAAAAAATTAAAAACTACCAAAAAAAAAAAAAACCCAAACCCGTTGCTGTCAAGTCGATTCCAACTCATAACAACCCTATAGGACAGAGTAGAACTGCCTCACAGTTTCCGAGGAGCCTGGTGGATTTGAACTGCTGACCTTTTGATTAGCAGCTGTAGCTCTTAAACCACTATGCCACCAGGGTTTCCAATGAGAGAATAGTAGTAATCAAATAGAAGATTTTAACTAGAAGTTGAAGGGCATTCTAAGATTTTTTTTTTTCCAAAATAACCTTGAAGGGCAATTCATATCAGAACTTAGAATTTGAAGCTTGAAACCTAAAAGGTGTTTTAAAAAGATGTCCACTAAAAGCAATGGATTTTATATGGTAAAAGGATTGGGTTTGCCAGGTATCTTGACTGAAGTGTTAGATAAACTTCACTGTTTCTCACGGTTTCAAGTAGGATGCTTATTCGCTAAAACTGAGTACTAAACCCTCAAAAAAACCGATTGCTGTCGAGTTGATTCCGACTCATAGCAACCCTATAGGACAGAGTAGAACTGCCCCATAGGGTTTCTGAGGAGCGCCTGGTGGATTTGAACTGCTGACTTTTTGGTTAGTAGCCATAGTTCTTAACTACTGTGTCACCAGGGTTTTGAGTCGATATCGACTGGACGGCAGTGAGGTTGTTTTGTAAAATTGAGTACTAGACCCCTGTTAAACCATTTTTAAATATGCAGAAAAGAAAAGGAAAAATTAATTTGTAGTTCATTGAGTATTTTTTTAAATTGACAGTTTCAGAGTGTTCTCAATGTGGCTGATACACAAAAAGTAAGGAATGGATCTGCTACCATCCGCGATGGTAACAGTACTGGTAATGGGTGTTTAAAAGCAGATATATTCCCTTAAAGTCTCATAGAAAACAAAACAAAAATTTATTAGTTTTTTAAAATATTCCTATAAGGTTAATTATAGTAAATGTACTTCACCATCAATATCAGTTAATGATATTTCAGCTTGTCATCCTTTTTTTACAGATTAAAATTGCATGAATTCCAGATGGGAAAAATGATACTTTCCACGTGATTATAGGACTGTGTTTTATTGTTGGTTTTTTCTTTTTTTGTGTGTGGTAGTAGTAATCTGGAATTTTGGTAACTAAAATATATCTCTCAGAAAACATCTTTTAACAATTACAGTTTTTATTGGATTAAAATAAAGACCATGGTAAGGAGTCAAGTACAGCCTTTGATAAATTGGAGGGGAGAAGGGCTTGGCAAAAGTAGAGAGAAGACAGAAACCGCAATCTTAATATTTTCAGCCTTTCTGTTAAAAAAAAAAAAAAAAGAATGTGTGATGGAAACTAGACTAGGAATTAGGAGAACTGGATTTAAGTTTGGCTCTTCCCTGTACTAGTATTGTGATTGGGCAGGTCCGCTTAGCTTTCTGTGTTTAAATTTTGTTTTCTGCAAAATTAACCACTCACTGAGTTCTAAAGCCTCTTAAGTTATTAAAAGTAAGTCATTTTATCAGCTCCAAAGTGTGCTATTCAGACTCCACTCATAGCTCTCCAGTGGCAAGTTTTAGGACACTGTCCTGGTCCACATTTTTATCAAAAATTTTGGATGAAAACAGTTCAGATCTATAACTAGCCAGCATTTGTTAGGTGCCTACTAGTTATTTGCCAGGCCTTACTCTAAGTATGTACATTTTCTCAGTTAACAATCTATTTTGTTTACTAAATATCCCTGGTGCCTAGAATAGTGTCTGGCACAAAGTGCTTGCTCAGTAAGTATGTGGAATGAATGAATGAATGACCCAGTGATGTAGGTCTTCTCTGGACCACCCCCTTTCGTGTACACTGTAACCTATCATTTCTTGCTTTGTCAAGGACATGCCCCCTGCTGTTTATCTTTCCCCATAGCACCTGTCATCATTTGATGTAGTAGTATTTATTAGTTTTTTTGTTCATTGTCTGTCTTCCCTCTCTTGAATGTGAGCTGCGTGAGGTCATGGATTTTGTTTTATTTACTGCTATATATTTGGAAAATGCTTGATACATAGTATGGTACACAGTGGCTCAGTAAATCTTTATTGAATGAATTATTAACTCTGTTTTTCAGAAGACAAAACTGAGATACAGAGAGGTTAAGTAACTTGTTTAAAGTTGTATAGCCAGAGAGTGATAAAGTCAGTATTCCAGTATAGGGCACCTATTCCCAGTTCATGCTCACCACGCTCTCTGTTCCTGAAGCAGGCTGAAAGGATGGACTATGCGTGTCTTAGAACATGAAAGTTAATAGGATAAAATGTACAGCCTTTGCTGGCTTCAATTTTTTTTTTTTCAGGTACAGTTTGTGGAAATACAAAGTAATACATTTTTAACTGATTATGAGTTAACAGTATGATCTTAAATTCTGTTAATGATACTAATAGCAAACACATGGCACCTATTAAATGTAAGGTATTATTCTAGGATCTTTACATATATTAACTCAGTAAACAGTATCTGTCCTATGGGACAGATAGTATTATCCCAGTTTTACAGATTTTTAGCAAACTTGAGGCACAAAGAGCTTTTTCTACATGCTATTCTCAGTATCAGAGCCCTGGTGGCGCAGTAGTTAAGCGGTTGGCTACTAACCAAAAGGTCTGCAGTTCGAATCCACGAGCCGCTCCTTGGAAACCCCATGGGGCAGTTCTACTCTGTCCTAGAGGGTCGCTGTGAGTTGGAATTGACTTGATGGCAATGAGTTTTTTTTTTTTTTTTAATTCTCAGTATCAAATAACTGGAGTGAAATAACTGGCGAAAGGTTAAGAAGCCAAAATGTGAAGAATAGTTGAAAGAATTAAGAATTCTGACTAGAAAAGGGGATTTGGTGACTCGTGATACCTGTCCTGAAACTTGAGAGGATGTTTAATGGAAGAACTAAGTCCAGAAGGCAAAAGTTATAGTGAGGTAAATCTAAGGGAGACCTTTCTATTAGATTGATGGATGGTTTTGAAGATAAAATGGGACAGCTTTTGAGTTTTCCGTTCTGGAAGGGTTTAAATCAAGACTGGATGACCATTTGTGGAGGAGGTTCTTGCACAAGGCACTGTTTAGATCTCATGAAAGTTTCCATGTAAGCTCTCTCATTGGAGCTCTGCCCATGCACTGTTGCTCTTTCCTCTACTGTATTCATTAAGCATGTATAATAAATCGGAATGAGATTGAGAGTCAAAGGTAATTTTATTACCAGTTTGGGTGAGGAGATGTAATAAAGAAGGTTTTAAAATCACAAGATTTTACAATCCTGTTAGAAATTCACCACTTTTTCCTTTCGTTTTAACCACTCTGTGTTCAAGAACAAGTTTCAGAGTCTCTTCTGACTTCCATTTTGGTCTTTTTTTTCTCTTCTGTTTTTTTAAAGACCTTTTGCTTTCTTTATATATGTCATTCCACAATTTGTCTGGTCTTCAGTCATGTGTTCAATGCATCAAATCTTTTCTTGTTGTGGTCTCTAAGTGCAGGTGGGATATACTCAAGGTTATACTTTGGCTCTTGTGGACTTGTTTTAATTGTCTTTAACTTGAACTAGCATATGAGCAATTGATGGTCTGTTCTGCGGTCAGCCCCTGGCCTTATTCTGACTGATGATGTTGATCTTCTCCATTGTCTCTTTCCACACATGTAGTCAGTTGATTCCTGTGTATTCCAGCTGGCAAGGTCTACGTGTATAGTTGCTGTTTTGCTGTTGAAAAAAGGTATTCCAATGAATAAGTTGTTAGTCTTGCAAAACTCTATTGTGCGATCTCCCGAGTTGTTTCTGTCACCAAGGTCATACTTTCCAACTACTGTTCCTTCCTCTTTGTTTCCAACTTTCACGTTCCAATTACCAGTAATTATCAATTACCAGTCAGCCAACCAACTGAAGAGATCCATTTTCGTGCCCATTCCAAAGAAAGGTGATCCAAAGGAATTCGGAAATTATTGAGCAGTATCATTAATATCACGTGCAAGTCAGAAACAGGCGCAGCAATATATTGACAGGGAACCGCCAGGAATTCATGCCAGATCCGGAAGAGGACATGGAACAAGGGATGTCATTGCAGATGTTAGATGGATCTTGCCTGAAAGCAGAGGATAGCAGAAAGATGTTTACCTGTGTTTTATTGACTATGCAAAGATATAGTCATGGATAACATTGCAAAGAATTGGAATTCTAGAACAGATAATTGTGCTCATGCAGAATCTGTACATAGACCAAGAGACAGTCATTCAAACAGAACAAGGGGATACTCTGTGGTTTAAAATCAGGAACAGTGTGCGTCAGTGTTGTATCCTTTCACCAGACTTATTCAAGTCTATATGCTGAGTACAGAATCCAAGACGCTGGACTATATGAAGAAGAACGTGGCATCAGGATTGGAGGAAGACTGTTTAACAACCTGTGATACGCAGATGACATAAACTTGCTTGTTGAAAGTGAAGAGGACTTGAAGAACTTACTGATGAAGGTCTAAGACTATTGCCTTCAATATGGATTACACCTCAACCTAAAAAAGACAAAAATCCTCACAACTGGACCAATAAGCAACATCACGATAAATGAGAAAAGATTGAAGTTACCACGGATTTCATTTTACTTGGATCCACAGTCAACGCCCATGGAAGCAGCAGTCAAGAAATCAAACGATGCATTGCATTGGGCAAATCTGCTGCAAAAGACCTCTTTAAAATGTTAAAAAGCCGAGATGTCACTTTGGGGACTAAAGTGCACCTGACCCAAGCCATTGGTATTGTCATATGCATGTGAAAGCTGGACAGTGAGTAAGGAAGACCGAAGAAGAATTGAATCATTTGAATTATGGTGTTGGTGAAGAATATTGAATATATCATGAACAGCCAGAAGAAGGAACAAATCTGTCTTGGAAGAGGTATAGCCAGAATGCTCCTTGGAAGCGAAGGTGGTGAGATTTTGTTTCAAATACTTTGGACATGTATCAAGAGGGACCAGTCTCTGGAGAAGGACATCATGCTTAGTAAAGTAAGGGTCAACAAAAAGAGGAAGACTGTCAATGAGATGGATTGTCACAGTGGCTGCAAGAATGGGCTCATACATAGCAACCATCGTGAAGATGGTACAGGATTGGGCAGTGTTTCATTCTGTTGTACATAGGGTCAGTATGAGTCTGAACTGATTTGACGACACCTAACAACAATTAGAAATTGGAAATGAGGCTAGATTACTGTGGCCAGTTGTATTAAGCAGTAAGAATCAGTTCATTAAAATGTTTATTGATTTTTAGAATTAGGAAAGACTCCTTTTTAACTATTTGAAAGGTTATCATAAATTTTGTTAATTTACAGTATTTAAAAACTTTTTAGTGAGATATAATCACGTACCGTAACATTTACCGTTCTAAAGTATACACTTCAGCGGCTTTTAGTATAATCACAAGGTTGTACAACCGTCACTACTATCTAATTCCAGAACATTTTCGTCATACCCGAAAGGCACCTGTGTACCCATTAGCCGTCACTCCCCATTCCCAGCTCCCCTGACCCTTGGCAACCGTTCATTTATGTCTCAATGGATTAGCTTATTCTGAGTATTTCTATAAATGGAATCATATGTTATGTGGCCTTTTGTGTTTGACTTATTTCACTTAATAAAATGTTTTTAAGATTCATCCATGTCATAGCATGTGTCTGAACTTCTTCTCTTTATGGCTAAATAATGTTCCATTGTATGTATACACCACATTTTCTTTATCTGTTCATCAGTTGGTGGGCACTGGCTTGTTTCCATTTTTTGACTATTGTGAATAATGCTGCCGTGAACCTTCACGTACAAATTTTTGCATAAATATATGTTTTCATTTCTCTGGTGTGTATACCTAGGAGTGGAATTGCTGGGTCACATGGTAACTGCTTAATTTTTTAAGGAACTGCTATGCTGTTTTCCACAGTGGCTGCACCATTTTACATTTCCACCAGCAATGCATGAGAATTTCAATTTCTCCACATCCTCATCAGCACTTGGTATTTTCTGTATTTTGGATTACAGCCATTCTAGTGGGAAAAGCTCTCATATTTAATAGTATTAAGTTTTGCTTTGTTGCATTATAAATGATCAAACACTGGTAAATTATAATTTTCGTGATCCTACTGTTTAAATGGATTGATAATAATGTGTACATAAAGTTCAGGTTGTGCTTTTTTATCTTGATGTGTGCTGTGTTCACCTTGTGTTACCATAACATGTCCAGATTTCTTATAAGTAAATGCTATTGGTTACAAGATGGCTAATGTAAATCCTCCGTCCTTGGAAGAAAAATTCAAAGTGCATGCCCTCCTAATAAGTCAGTTAGCAAGATGATTTTGGCATAAAGACAGCATATAATTGCATCTTATGTGTCTGTTTTTCCCTCTTCATGATTTATTCATTTTCTATCTCATTCCTCAAAGGATTTGAGATGATTTTCATTATGATTATATAGTATGAAATAATGATAAAAAATCTCTAAGTGTGGAATCAGAACCAGAGAAAATATGATGAAAGAGGGAAATCTTATGTGGGAAAACACAGTCATAAGGGCTAACATAGTTGTATCATCGAACTTCAAATAGGACTTTATATAGTGACACACATACCTGGGAGACTTGGCTTCAATTCCCAGCCATTGCACCTCATGTGCAACCACAGCCTGTCTGTCACTGGTGGCTTGTGTGTTGCTATGATGCTGAACAGATTTCAGCAGAGCTTCCAGTCTAAGATGAGGAAGAAAGGCCTGGCTATCTTCTTCCAAAAATCAGCCAATGGATCACAATGGTCCAATCCTCACCGTGGGGTTGCTGTGAGTTGGGGGCCATATCAATGCCTGCTAACAACAGCAGCAAACAATGTGTAGACATGCTGTCACTAAAGCAATGGTAGTGTGAGTATAATTTTTAACTGTGATACGCTAATGTGGGGCTGTAGGCATATAGGCCAGACAGTTGTAAATGTCTCTTGTAATTTATTTTATGGAAATTCTAACCCTAGGTATTAATGATCATTTTTTAAATCATGTATTTCTTCTTTTGTATGTTATACTTTATCAGAATACTTACATTGGAGCTTGGGACAAGATACCTAATTTCTGGTAAGTCAAGTGACCGTTTAGAGAGTGAGCTGTACAGCTGTATTTTCAGTCATCTGTGATTTAAAAGAATTTTTAATGACTTTAAAATAATAATAATGCTGATAAATTTTTATTATTGCATAATGTCAGTTTCAAGAGGACAGCTTTTCTGTAAACCTGTTTCTCTATAAAAGACTATCCAAAAAAGAATAGCATTTCCTAAAGAATTGGGTTACTCTTACTGAATCAGATATTGATATTTTTCTTTTGTGAAGAATAGTTGGCTTAATATAACCTAGTTTAAGATACATGTGTTAAACATGATCCACTTTCAGATATGAGTCAATTTGTTAAAATCAATCTGAAATTTCATTCTTCGTCAGCTTTATTTTCCCCTCACAATTACAGCTTACAAATTATTTGAAAAGCTAAATTTCATGAGAGGACAGACGAAAGTTTATAATTTTCACATTTAAATCTGCAATAAAGATAACCGTTAACAATCTATTCATTTTGGTATTAAGAAATGACTATTAGTATTTATGCAAAGCAAAATATTTAATATTTTTGCTGTGAAGAAAGTAACGTTGGATTGTTTTTCACTTCTAGTGACAGGATTTAAGAGCTGCTATGACAATGAAGGAAGAAACTGAATTTATCATTTTCACCTAAAGAAAACATGATAGACAAAAATCAAACCTGTGCTGCAGGACAGGATTCTATGCCCTATATGATTTGTCTGATTCACATACTTGAAGAATGGTTTGGTGTGGAGCAACTGGAGGACTATTTGAATTTTGTAAACTATCTCTTGTGGGTTTTTACACCACTGATACTTTTAATACTTCCTTACTTTACTATCTTTCTTCTCTACCTTACAATTATTTTCTTACACATTTATAAGAGGAAGAATGTATTAAAAGAAGCTTATTCTCATAATTTGTGGGATGGTGCAAGGAAAACCGTGGCAACTCTCTGGGATGGACATGCGGCAGTTTGGCATGGTAAGCAAGAAAACTTTGATCTCTATGTTGCTATACGTATGTGGTGCTGGAACTCTGTCATCATTCTATTTTAATGACTGAGAAGATACTGAAAAATATTATGGAAGGGATACATTTCCTTTCATTTATTTGTGCACATTGTGCATATATATGTGTCCTTAAAATTACTTTTTCTAAGTACGTTAGTTTCCATTAAGAAGCACACAGCATGGCAGACTGTTACCATAAGCTAAAATGTAATAATTTAAGACATTTACAAAAGTAAGAGAATAATTAATTCAAATATTATAGAAGACTATTTTGAAAATGCTTTCATTATTTAGCATCTAATTCTAACCTATTCAAAATAAGTTTTACTTTCCCAGTGTAATATATTTTTAAAAAATGAAATACTAAATATAATTTACACACCAAAATTTACCTTTTTTCTGTTTGATTCATTCCGAAAGTCATCATGTCTTTCTGAATGAGTGAGATGGCAGTAAATTTCCTCTAGTATATTCATTCTTGCCTTTATTACTTGAGAAGTGTGTTTCTTTGTTTGACCATCACTAAAACTGCTCTCTAGTGGCCTATTTTCATGACTTGGTGTTTTTCTTTACCAGTTTTCACTTTGTTATTCTGCTAATTCCTTATTTTTGGTCTTTTGTTTTTAAACTGCACACAAATGCAGAGGATTTGTTAGGCATTAACAAAGATACTACTTTCTGTATCATGTTGAGCAGCAAAGTAGTTTCACAGAAGGACATGGAAGGAAGTGCCGATTTTAAAATATATACTTAAGGATTTATATCACTGAATTATAAGGTTGCCATTAGCGAAATCATTGGTGACATGCCTGTTAGGGAACTTGTTGTCATTTTAGTACTACGTACATACATATTGCATAATTACGAATCTTTGAGTACTTGCTGTGCCACACACTGTCAAATGCATAATATGCATTAATTCCTTTAAACCTCCTAACATTATAGGTTCTGTGTATTATCACCATTTTACCCATGAGGAAACGGGGGCATAGAGAGGTTGTTATTTGCCTAAGGCACACTAGGAAACATCTAGTATTCATCCTCAGGCATTCTGGCTGTAAAGCCTGTGCTCTTTTGTTATTTGTGTCGTGTAATAAGTCTGTCCCAGTTTAGGGATTCAGGGCCAAATGTAGTGTATTCAACAGGTTTGCAAAAAGAAACCGTGTGCCTTTGATGTATTGAATTCTTAATGTTTACTTACTAATACTACAGCTCCTGCCAGTCAGTACAACTCTCCTACCTTCTCATGGTTATTTTATGTGAGACAGATTATACCTCCGTATCCCATGTCTGTGTATCTGCATAACTGCATCTGTGTGAACAGTTGCTGTTCATTGTCTTCAAACAGTGATGCAAAAACTCATTGGTGCTGTTAACAATACTCGTTGGGAATATATATTCCCCTCACACACACCTCTTATATTTCAGGAGAATATATATTGTAAGAAATTCAAATTTATATTTCAGTAGACATGGTTTATCCAAGTGCATGTGCTAAACTTATTTTGAGATATTTTAAAATATGTATTTTTGGCTCAGAGGAAGTAAAATAGATGAAGTTATTAGCCTGTTTTAATGCTTTATTATGATAATAATACTGTATTAGGTAAGTTTAATTATTATTCTAAGTTTAAGTTTTTTAAAAATTGATTTTCTTAACCTGTTGTTCAGTGATATATGTAAAAGGCATTCGTGGGCATGTGTGGATATTCTGTTGATGTCAACACCAAATTTTAATTCATGCTTTTTAAAGAATCTTTAAGAGATTCATTTTTAATAATAAAAGTGCTCATTATAAAAAATGTGGCAAATACAGAAGTATAAATATGAAGAAGAAAAAAGTCATCTAAAATTTACCATTCAAATGAGCTCTTGTCAAAATTTTGTTATATCATTTTTTATACGTGTTTGTGTATTAGTCATACAAGTATTTTTCACGTCATGACGTTATTCTTCAAAAATATAACTTTTAATGACCGCATGGAATTCTATAAATCGTTTAACTAATTTAATTAGTTCATTATTATTGAATATTCAATCTCTTTACAAATTTTTACTATTTTAAGTAGTAAATATTGTGCAAAATTCTATCCAGTGTTTTCTGTGTTAAAGTTAAATATGAATGGAATTTTACCTGTATGCTTGTGTAATATAAGTGCTGTATGTGATTTTTCAAAAAAAACTCTGTGCTTCTCATGTTCTGGGCAACATAATGCCTATATACTACATCTTCAAAAAGCATTAATTTGACATTTCTTAAATACCTACATTTCTAGGTTACAGGGTGATGGGTCTGTGAAGTTCCTACCTTCATATTGTTCACAGTTTTTAAGCTGTAAATAATTTTACTTATTTTTCAAAAAAACGTTATTCCTGGAAAATATGAATGACATTTTAAAAAGCTGGATTCTTAATATTTAACAATTTCCCCTGAAAATTAATGATGAGAGAGAGTTCTCAACAAGATATCCAGATGTTTTTGAGAAAATTAAAAACTATATATTTTAGCAAAACTGTAAAGGTAATGATGACCATAGCTCTCACTTCAGGAAAATAAGGGGTGCTTTGTCTTTGGGAATTTCAGCTGTTTTATCTTTTATTGTGTATGTATGTGTTACTGTGGCTTTTGTTTTTGTTTTGCGAGGTCCAGTTTGTAACTGGTTCAGTTCATTAGCAACAGAAAATTTTGGAAAAATGAAATGGTTTGATTAATTAGGTAGGCTGATAATATGGTTTATTATATTGTGCAAATTAATGATTTTTTAAAAAAACAATAGACCACCGTACCACAAACTCTAAACTTTCTTTGACTTCATATTTTATTATTATTTTTAGAAATGGACACATTTTATTCACTAAAAGTATTCCACAGATTAAACCATATGTAAGAAAGTTTTTATGGAAAATTAAATCAAGAAAATAACCCCTTTCTCCTCCAGTGGCATAAGCACTTTTCCTTTCACCTGTCTATCACTCAGTGAAGGACTCCTCAAAAGTTCCCAACCAGGCTCTACTGAGTTGACTGGGTGACTTTGGGCAAGTTACTTTTCTTTTTACACCGACTATGATTTTTTAAAACTTTATTATTTTAACAAAAATTTAGAATTGTGGTTGCAAAAATAGTACAGGGTCCTCATATATCCTTCACCCAGCTTCCCCTAATGTTAACGTCTTCCGTAACCATAGTGCAATGAGCACATTAACAGTGGTACAATATTGTTAATTAAACTACAGGTCTTATTCAAATTTTACCAGTTTTTCCACTAATGTCCTTTTTCCAGAATCCCACATTGCATTTACATATTGTCATGTGTCTCCTTAGTCTCTTCTTATCTGTGGCAGTTCTTTAGTTTTTTTCTGTCTTTTATTACCTGGACACATTGAATAGTACTGGTCAGTTATTTTATAGACTGTTTCTTTTTCTAGGTCTGATGTTTTGCATACTTGGATTGAGGTTATCCATTTTTAGCAAAGATGCCACAAAAATGATATGTCTTTTTCAGTGTATTATATCAGAGGGTTCATGATGTTGATACGTTTTATTACTGATGATGTTAACTTTGATTACCGGTAATAAGGAGGTGTCTGCCAGGTTTCTGTACTGTAAAGTTTTCCTATTCTGTGAAATGCGTTGTTATAAGGATTCAATGAAATTTCATGTAAAGTATTTAGCAAGTTTTCTATTACATACTAAGTGTTCAATAAAATTATAGAGCACCTTTCTCAGATCATTTGGAAGGCACTAAAATGCATATTCTGCGCGATGATCATTATTAAGTTTAATTCAACACACCTACTATGTTCAAGGTCCTTATATTCAAGATAGTCTTAGGCTATCACATTTCTGACTGTTATCCTCAGAGAAAAAAATGCATTTTCCCATCCAATATACACGTACGTACTATTTTATGAAAAGTGTACTTTCTAATGTGATTTACTCTGTTTTCTATTATACTCTCTTTTATTTAAAAAGAAAAATGTTGGTCATAACCTTCTAAGTGATTTCATAATTGACTAAAATTGATTTCACAACCCACTAGTAAGATTACAACCAGTCTTTAAAAACCAGGTGTGTAGGTTAGCATGTGTAGTTGTTGTTAGTTGCCATCGAGTTGATTCCGGACTCACGGCGACCCCATATCTGTAATAGGAAGTGTGGTGGTTCGGGAAAGAGCATAGACTTTGAAATTAGACAGATGTGGGTTTGCATCCTGGACACACTGTGTGACCTTGAGTGAGTTATATGGACTCTTCTCACTTAGGCTTCCTCATCTGTGCATGGTTTTTGTGAGGACCAAATGAGAACAGTTATTAATGGTTCAGTGCAGTGCCTGCGTGTTGTGACCATAAAAGGCTTGAAAATGTTGGACTAGTGTGGTAAATCCGTGGATGCTTTCTGAGCAGGGAATGGTATGACCACTGTGCTTCAAGAATGACACAGATCCCCTTTTAGCTCAGTGGTGAAGCCTCTCCTGAAGTTCACTGTTCAGCTGGGGATTGGACAGCCTCATAAAACAAAACAGGACTAATGAGACACAGCAGTCCAGGGACAAGGACTAGAAGGCAGGAGGGGACAGGAAAGCTGGTGATAGGGAACCCAAGGTTGAGAAGGGACAGTGTTGACATGTCATGGGGTTGTTAACCATTGTCATAGGGCAATATGTGTACTGTTTAATGAGAAACTATTTGTTCTGCAAACCTTCATTTAAGGTACAAAAAAAAAAAAGAATTATCTATGTGAGATCAGATTGACAACAGCAACTCAAAAGGTTTGATGGGAAGCCTAGGGGACAGTGAGTTGAAGATAATGGTATTGGAATAATTTGGAAAAGGATAGTGAGAATGGCAGCACAACTGGAAGAATGTAATTGATGTCACTGAATTGTACATATAGAAACTTTCAAAATGGGTTAACTTTGGCTATGTATATTTTCACCAAAAAAAAGGTCTTCAAGGTTGAGAAGGGAGAGT